CGTGTCCCCTGGCACCCACCTCTGCGCCCGGTTCCCGTCCCGTGCCCAGCCTGGGCTATAATATCATCCTCCAATTGTCACCATTCGTGCCGGCATTTTCAAAAACCAGTTGAGCCCCTTCAGACCACACCATCCACACCTGACAGCTCCACTCACGTCTGAGGGGCTGCCCCAAACTTTTAATTTCCTTTTGGGACACGACACTTTGTTACTGATTATTTTCTGAGCTTCTCTGAAGGACAGGGACTCCACCCTGAAAATCAAATTCCCCCACAAGCAGGCGCCCAGACATCTGTCTGGCACCCTAGAATGAGAAGCGTCCAGAGAGTCCTCCCTGCACCAGGGCCTGAGGCAGGTGCTCTGCAGGCCCAGAGCTTCCCAGACAGGGCGACTTTATTAAAACTCCCATTCCAGAGGAAGCCAGGCTGAAAAAGCTACAGGGAGGGGCACAAAAATAAACCCAGTAAATTAAAAATAAAGAGAAACCAGTCCTCACAGACGGCTCTTCATTCTTTCCACCCTTTGTGAGGGCAGATGGGAGGACGGCTGGGAGCGACCCAGCTCACAGCAAGCAAAGCTCATCCCAAGTGTTAAGACTTCTGTGGGTGGAAGAGAAAAAACAAAAAACTAGGCCATTTTAGGTCATTCACAGAACAGAAAAGAAGCCATTCTCCTGCCCAACAACAAATCTTAATGGAGCCATTCCACCACTTGCCTTGGAATCCCATTCAGTGTCTGACAATTCTGTCAACAAACTCTTCCTGAAAGCTCACCGAAATCACTCTTGCTCTGTCCTTGTGGTAAGAGGGGCACCGTTTTCCATGTCATCTTTTGTCACATAATGTACCCAAACCCACTATCATTACTTCTTTCTTCTCTAAGCAGACACAAAAGGGCTCCTTGTCCACAGCTGGGCAAACCTTCCGTCCTGTCTCGGCCACCCTGCATGGGCTCAGGGCTGCCCCCCACGGCTCGTGGGGAGGCCCTTCCCATGTCCCTCCCGTCCTGCAGGCCTCCTTCCCTCCCACGGGAATGGGGACACCTGAGGGAGGCAGGTTCTCCATGGAATAATAAACACCCCCAAACCTGACATGGTGGTAATGCCTATTTCCAAAGCTGCCTGCTCCTAGTTTTCTGAATACGTCAACACTACATGCTAGTCTCTCCTCAAATGACCAGGTTCATTTTTAACTTTACTTTGTCATATTTAATGCCTTAGTAAATTAATTTCTTGTTAGTCATGGAGATTTCTTCTAGATCATTTCTTTCTTCCTCTGATTAATTCAAAATACCTTGTAAAAAACTCCTGGGAAGACTCAACTTTATTTTACAGTTGGTAGTTGGAGGGATTTTTCTCCAACTATCAGTGAAAAACCATAAGATTCCCAAGTTTGTAGCTGAATGGGAACATTTCTTGTTTTTAGACACCAACATTTTACTGGAACCCTCTGCATTATATGTCAGGAAAGTAACCAAATGTAGAATCCTCCCAGAAGCACTGGCCTCTGTGTTTATGGTAAGATAGCGCAGAAAGGGCCAGTAGCCAACTTGCCATCGTCACCGAGTCTCAGTCTTGCCTCCTGTTACCATCCCAGCACACACCCAATCCTCCCACTTCTGTGCCCCCGAGTTCCCACCACTCCCCACAGGGCCTTCTGCAGTCCTGCTCGCCCAGGGACTGGAAGCCATTCCCACCCGCTGTGCCCAACCCTCCTCTTTCTTCTGAACTCCCATCCATCCTCCAAAACCCAACCCAAATGTCACCTCTCCAGCAAAGCTACCCCAACAGTCCTTGGCAGAGCCAGCTTCTCGGGGGTCCTACAGCGAGAGCCTTTCTGTGTCTCAGCTTCCTGCTTCCGTTGCTCACTGGACTGTGGACCCCACAGCAGCAGGGACATTCCCTGGTCCCCTGAGCATCTCAGTGCCCAGCACAAGGCCTGAAGCAGGGCAGTGCTCACAGCGTGGTGTTGAGATTTGGGGGAAGCTTGATCTAAAATTCTATGGTCACTGAGTGCAACAAGGACTCTGTTTCTGTTGTTGTTGTTGTTTTCCCCAGGAAAAGGCTCTTTGGCCTTGAACAAGTATTTCAGTATCTTTAGGTGAATGGGTAGACTGACTGATAACACAAAATGCAAGACGGATGTCTCCCCCCACACCCTTCTAGGGGCCCCGTCTGTCCTTCTGTACCCGAGAACCCGTCAGTCTGCACAGGAAGGCGGTGACAAGACGGTGTGTGAGCCCCCCCTTGGGGCTCACATAGCAGCGATGGTCACCTCTGGCTGCCAACCTCCCTCCCTGATCCAGAGCAGCCCCGGGAGTCTTGGTGGTGGCCACTGATCAGTGTTTGAGGAACCAACGAACAATCATAACTTTGAGCTAAATTGTTTTTTTTTTTTTAATTTTTCACCAAGAGCTCCAGAAGGCAAGTAGTTTATCACCTCCCTGCCCTGAAAAAGCACAGCAAGGCAGACGATGTAGGGTGCTGGATGTCAGCTCTTTCTTGCTTTCCGGACCCACAGCGAGGCCCATGCCGCGTAACCCGTAGGTGCTCAGGCCCCACGCAGCGGCACCGGCGCTGCTGGAGTTGGGTTATCTGTCCAGAAGATTCCACCCTGGATCCGCAGAGAAATCCGGGTGCAGTTTACTCTCCAGGGGCAGAGAGCAGGCGGCAGGCCAGGGGCAAGTGGCTCTTACCGAAGGCCTCACACGACACTGTGACGACCAAATGTCTTGGCTTAGGGCTGGGAGGGACACGGGACAGACAATGAGGTCCAGGAACCTCTGGACTGCTAAAAAGACGACTTTTAAAAAGAAATACTAGATCTGTAGCTCCCGGTGTTCACAGGAAAGCACATTGCTTGGGATCCCAGACCTGAGCAGCGAGAAACGAAGGCTGGGCTAACAGAGCCAGGACTTTATTCACAGTAGCACAGTCCTAATCTAAAACTCCAGAATTGAAGTCCAATGTCTCTTAAGAATGAGAATTCTTAAACCTGTCAGACCAGCTGACAGGGGAAAGAGGAAAAAAACAAAACAACACAAAATCAACTCAATCTCCCTTCACCTCCCAACACCCCAGCCACCTCCCACCCCATTAAAAAAAATTCATTGAAGTCACGCACACTTGCACACACTCAAATATGCAAACAAAAGACCAAATACCCAGGGAAATCTTAGGAATCACCTAAGGATTTTTCACCAGCTCTCCAGATGCTCCTTCTGTTTTTCTAGAAAAAAAGGAGGCAAGCTCTGACAGTTATGTCTAAGCAGTAAAAATTTGAGTTGGATGAGACCCCTTTTCTTAGTCTCTGGCTGACCAGTCCATATAGAACACCAGCAATGAGTCAGGAAGGCGGGGGCCGGTGTCCGGCTGCCCTAAGCTGGGGACCGGGTCCCGGGAGCACTAAGCTCGCACACGCAGCACCCCTGCCCACAGTCTGCCGTGAAGGGCCCTCCCCATGCGTTGAATGCGAAGCTCCGGTTGTTGGCTGCCACGGTGCCTGGCTATCGAGGAGGACAGGTGCTTGTGCCCGATGCCTGGGAGGGTGTCTCTGGAAGCCACCTTTTACAGCTTGAGGGGCTGAGAACGCAAACCCGAGGCAAACAAACCAGCAGGAGAGATCCCAGGACGCCAGGCTGCAGAGTGGGAAGAGATCATGTGGTCCAAGTCTGCTTTTTACATAAACCCAATCTATGAAGACAGCAGCGAGGCGCCCCAGGGGACATCTCTTGAGGAAGGGCGTCCTCCCCGGAGGCTGACTCTGCGAGCTGCCCAGGTTGATGGCCTAAGTCAGGTGGCGGCCCACGCCTCCGGAACATGTTTCGCACCTTAGTTGGAGAATCGTTTGTTTCCAGATGGTTCGAATCGCCCATCAGCGGGCCTCCCTGCCAGAGCCAGGCTGGGACACTGAAGAGAATCAGACTGTCTACACTGCCTGCTTCCCAGGGCGTGGTGAAAGCTTACAGCTTCCATTTCGTTGCCTTGTCTTACAATGTTTTCCCAACAATTTGTAAAATAAATAATTCAAAACATAATGAAAACCCCCGGCAAAGATAGTTGCTGGCCTGAAATTGTGCCCTGTGTCTCAACAGTGACTCAGCTCCCAAAACTCACACCTGTGGTCGGTTCCCAGGCTAAGGGGTGGAGCAGAGAGGGTGACACGAACCCTGGGGGCAGGGCAGGAGGTGCACACCAGCCCCCACCCTTTATATATTACGTTTATCTTTATAAATAGAGCATCCTCACGCAAGTGGCCACAATGAAGAAGGCCAAGAGTTCTTTTTTCCTCAATTATCTACACAAACCGTCAGAGATCTGCTAAGTCACATCTGCATGGCAAACTGGCAGCTCTTCCCGAGAGCTCCGATCGCCACGGTGGTCACACCTCAGCCAGACACTGCCTGTCCCTGCTGGGTACTGAGGACTGAGACAAAAAAATCTACTTTGCAGTAAGGCTCATGACAGAATTCCTTTAACTAAAAAGCCCAATTAATAGGATTTTTAAATGATTTGAGTCCCCCGAAAACTTGTCCTATACACAAGTTTTCAAGGTCACACAAAATGAAACCAATTAGACCAATAAAGGTTGTCCAGTTGGCTTGAGTTTCCAAGGCCACGCCTGCCACATACAATGAAACCCAACCAGACCAGTCAGCGTGGTCCAGTTGGCTGGGCTGCCGGGACTGGCGAGTCACAGATGTGACAGCTTGGTGGCCGCCTGCTCTCGGGCAAGACTCTGAGCCACGTGTTCAACCTTCACGTGGGAAGCAGTGGACGCAGAGCCATGTGGGCCATGAGCCGGAGAATTGGGTGTCTGGACTGAAGTTTATCCCGACAGTTTCTACAAAGTCTATCTTTTAGCCACTCTAGGAAATTTGGGCTTAAATTCCCTGTATTCCCCTCCACCCTCAAAAATAATGTTAACTTTGGTTTAACGCATCAGACCACTTGGGTCGGATGAAGGTGACCACTTAAATGAAAAGAAAACCCAGAAACGGAGGCAGACAGATGACCAGCCCTGTAGAGAAACCCAAGGGCGATGGACCGAGGCGGGTCGCGCTCCCGGGACCCTTCAGAGCTCGTCCCGCGACCGCGCGGCGTCCACGGAGGTGGGCGGCGGCAGCGCCTCTGTGTTCTTGGCGTTGCTGTGGATGTGGCCTTGCTTGCGGGACTTCCAGGAATGCGTCCTGTCCCAGTCGGTGGCCACTGTCTCGTTGTCCCAGATGGTGGAGGTCTCCGTGTCGCTCAGGTACCCCGGCTGGCCCGTGTAGTGCGTGGGGTAGATGAGCAGGGGTTCGGCAGAAAAGGCTTTCAAGTCCCTGGATGCGTAGTGCTCCTTGTACTCGGCCCTGGAGACAAGGGGAGCGCGGGGCATGAGCGGCCCGGAGGCCTAAGGAACAGGGACAAGGGGGGGAGAGGCCCTGCTTGCTGCTGTCTCTCGGGTGGTCATGGATTCCTTTCATTATTTTTTTAAGTTGTGCTCTTTGGGAAAAACTTCAGTCTACAAACACAGTAAAGGTCTCTTGAAAAGCTTTCAGAAGATCTGCTCAAACAAGCAAGCAAAAAGGTCAGGATAGGTCTGGCCTTTCTGCATAGACAAGTTTAAAGGATGAATTCCAGGTGTTACTGTGAAAGTTAAAAATTAAGCTCTGTTGGATCATGTGATAAATAAATGTGATCACTTTACAAAAATGCCCTGTTCCCGGATTAATAATGAGACACCTGGGATCCGGACAGCGGTGGTGGGGTAAGGGACACAGTGGGGCTTGGAGGGGGCCAGCCTGGCTCTGCTCTCTGCCCCCTGTGCACCATTCGAGATCCAGCAAGGGTAAAGGACAGGGATGACGGCCTCCCTCCCAGGGCTCTGGTATAGATTATATGAGGGGACATCTGGACAGCTCCCAGGTCTGTGAGTGCACTGTAGGTATTAATTTCCCTTCCGTTTAGGGGATAATGGTCTGACCTCCAAGTTTCTACCAGAACACAGAAATAAAGTCAGTCTCTAACATGTTGTGCAAAAGAGCGCAAGGAGTCCATTTTTACTGAGGACAGGAGACCGAATGAACAAGTTGCAGCACAGGGCATCTCCACAGCTGAAAGGAAGGCCATCTAGGGAAGAGCTCACCCAGCAACGGAGAGAAGGAGCCGAGGTTAGAACCGGGGCTCCGGCTCCATGGATGAACTTTGGAGTCATTGATTGAACAGCAGCTACTACGTGAGGCATTTGCACGAAGCTCTAAGGACACAGAAGGGTAACACTACTCCTGCCTCAAAGGGCTCCCAGTCTAGCAGGGAGACTGACGGGTAAACCACCAGTGACCACACCTGTTGGTAAGCGCTAGACCAGAGTCTACGATGCCTGGGCTATGGGCACCCTGAGTGCCACACTCCCTTCCTCCACGATGCCTTGCTTGGGTGTCCCGTCCTCACCCCCTGAACCTCTACACGTCTCTGTGATGGCAGATGGCTGGCATCCCCATGCATCAAGACGATTTGCTCATGAGTCTGGGTTTCTGACCAGACTGTGGGCTCTGCAAGGCACCACCGCCCAGCCTTCAGCACACACGGTGGCCTGAGCCAAGGGAACTGGAGATTTTCAGGAGCTCAGGAAGGTGACCTTCACCTTGAGGTGTATGAGGTGACGGAGGTAAGAAGAGCAAAGACAATGAAGGGACCAACCAGATTCTGCTCGGCTCAACTACCAACTAGATATTGTAAAGAACTCCCGGGCAAGACACTCACCCCCTCTGCCTCATCTTCCCTATCAGTACAAGGGAAACTCACTTGAGTCAGCCTTTCTTGCTCATGATTATGGAAAGATCATTGAGGAAACCTTTAGAAAATACCAAGGACTATCGGAAACTGAGTAGCCTGATTCATGAAGAGGCTGGGCCCAGTGACGGGGGCGTATGGGGAGACTCACACAGGATGCTTGTTGTACATGATTGGCAGAAACTCATCCACTGGCAGCATCTTCCCAAAAGGGTCGGCTTCCACCAGCTTCTGTGCTCCTTCCAGAGAGATGACGTAGCCCAGGGTCCAGTAGGAATAGTCAGCCTCCACCAGGTTCACCACATTGGGCACGGCCTTCTCTGGCTCTTTTACTTGCATCCTCTTCCTACCGATATAACTGTAAGGAAAAAGGCAGCGAAAACTCGAATATCAGGCATTGCTAAGGATGGAAGCCAGCTTCGGTTTGCACAGACACCTTTGAAAGCTCCGACCAGTTGTATCTTGTATCTCGTGTTAAATGTGTCCCACCACAAAGCGGATCCGGGCACCAGCCATGACGCCATCTCCCGGCAGGGAGGCCACTTCCCTGGCTCCGTTTGTCAACCCCCCCGCTACTCCTGCCCAGCAGACTGCGTGCAAGCCAGAACGAAAGGGAACAGTGAGACTGAAAGACCTTTCAGACTGTTTCCCCAAGATGACGTGGGCCCGCCGGCTGTGTTTACGAAGGTTGGGAAGGCCCGAAAAAGGCCAGATGTGAGAATCCCAAGTCTATCGTCTTCAAGTCCCCAAAGTTTCAGCCTTGGACGCCTTCTGCACAGCACTCACAAATGAGGGTGGTAGCGACCCAGGACTTGTAGAACAAATCTCTGTTCAGCCTTTGGTTCTTTTGGGGACATCAAATGTCTACCTACCTAGCCACTGTCTTTTCAGACTACAGAGTCTGAATTTCTCTAGTGTATCACAGAGTGGAAAGGAAACTCCTACTGAGCACTTGAAACATGGGCAGAGTGATGGAAGGACTGAGTTAATACTATTATTAATTTTAACTAATTTGAATTTAAAAGTTAAAGCTGTGTAAAATATTGTTTTCCCATGGAACAAGCTTATTGTTTTGGTAGGAATATAGTTTATTTTAACAGCTGAAAACTTAGCTTCTGGATTGAAGTATGTTCTAAGTATAAAATGCACATAGAATTTTGAAAACTTAGTATATAAAAAAAGAACGTAAATGATCTTAATGATTTTTAAATATTAATTTCATACTAAATTAATAATATTTGGATATGGTGTGTTAAATAAAATGTATTATTAGAACTAATTTAAACTCATTTATACCCTTTTAATGTGATTACTAAAAAATTTAAAATGACGTGTGGCTGTGTTGTATTTCTGTTGATCAGCACTCCCTAGATGTTTCCAATGGCTTGTTCTATTCTTCCCATTTACTTCCCTTATTTTCTTTTTCTGGAAAAATTTATCAATCATGGACAGCTTATTAACTTTCATATTTTGAGTTTAACATTTGTTTCTTCTTCATTTTAGGAAGTGAGAGATAAAATTTGAAACTGCTTTTGTTCTTTAAGACTTTATAATAGATTTTAATAGAATATTTTGACTTGATCAACCTGTGAAATTTAGAAAACCTTTTTTCCCTGGTGTCCTTATCAGGACAACTGTTCTTCCTTCTTGGATCTGTTGGTACTTTGTCCTTAGAAATGCACCGGCCAAACTACACGTGGACAGGCATGTAGGCCGATTCCAAGCCCTGGGCACCTTGAGTTGTTGTCTGTGATTATGAGGCTTCAGTGAAAGATGCCTTTGCACAAGTCCTGTTGGCATAAAATAGCTTCCAGGCTTCATGTCTGTGAGGCTTTAACCACAGGCTGCAGAGCCACAGGTTCAGAAAGGCAAAGTGCAGAAACTTCTGGAAGATACGGGAAGAAACTGATCTCAAAGGGGCCTCGCAGAATACAAATCTAATCACGTGACTGGTATCTGATGGGGAGCGGGTCTCTTTTTGCTAGACAGGACCGATTTCTGGGTCTATTTCTAATAAGTTTGTTGAGCCATTGCTAGGTTTCTTTTGAACTCGAAGTGGTCCAATTTCTGAAACATCAAGTGTCCCGCCAGGCCGGAGCGAGGCTGCCCCCCGAGGGTGGGAGGAGCAGGGACATTCTCTGCGGCAGCTGCTCCAGAGGAGCAGGCTCCGGCGTGCTGGACTGCCTTGCACACACAGCTGGGCGTGCACACGCTGCCTGGGAACTTTCTGCTTCACTGACGGGAAACAGAAACTGTCATTTTGGTTTAAAAACAAAATTGGGGGAGGGGGAAGAAAAAGGAAGGAAGCAAGGATGGAAGGAAGGGAGAAAGGAAGGAAGGAGGAAGAAAGGGGAGCAAGGAGGGAAGGAAAGAAAAGTAGGAAGCACTCAGTTCCCAGAGGCAGGAGACAAAGGGCATTAACTACGTGTGGGTGGGAGCCAGCACTCCCCTGGGGAGCCTGGTTTTCCTGTGTCAGCCTCAGACCCTTCCCCAGGCCCAGCTGTCAGTGCTCTCCCTGTCGGTGTGACCTCGTTTCCCAACACAGGAGCCCCTGGCTGCCCCTCCAGCTTCCCACCTGCTCTCCTGGGAGCTGCCCCCTGCCCTCGCCGAATGCCCTCCCAGCCCTTCCATGGGCCACCTTGCACTTCCGCTGTGCTTCTGCGCGGGTGCTCAGAGCCACGCTCTGCTCTGTCTGAAGGCCCCGGATCTGCAGGCAGGCTCCAGCCCTCAGACAGAATTCCCCATAGTTTCTCACCCTGAAGAGTAGACGGCTGTAAAAAACCTCTACCCACTTTTGCTTCTGAGAACGTCTATGGAGAGAAAACCAGGCAAGTGGAAGCTGAAGCTGTATCTCCTGCCGGCTGGGAAGGAAGGTGGGGCTCTCTGCCCTCTGGAAAGGACTCAGTGCTCTCTGCTGAGCTCGTCTTGTCACTCACATCAGTTCCCAGTCCAGATGAGCCTGGTCGATGTCATCCATCAGCTTCATCAGCTTCCTCTTAAACTGATGCTCAAAACGCACGTCATCCTCGATCACAAGAGTCTTCTCCAGCTCTCGGTCAATTACCTACAAACGTCATCAGTGGGAAGACACCCTATGAAAAGTTTGATACCCATTTTTATTAGATAAATAAGTTTTGAAAAGTCACGAGTGTAAGTAGCATAACTTGTAATAGCTCAGAACTGGAATCGAAGTGAATGCCCGTCAACAGGAGAATGGATAAAGAAGCTGTGCATTCGCAGCAATGAGAATGTATGGTCTCCAGGGAATGTCACAGGTGAATCTCCTAAATGTAACATTGGGAGGTTACCCTTCGATACGATTCCATCCATATAAAAGAGATCACAAACGCAGGCAAAGCTATTCTGTGCTGTTAGAGGTCAGGGTGGTGACTGCCCTTGGGGACTGGTGACCAGAAGGAAGTACAGAGGGGACACTCCCGGGTTGCTGGTGTCCTGTGCATCAATATGGGTCCTGAATGACATGGGTGTGCTGTTCAGTTTGTGAAATTTCACGGAGCTCTACCTTATGATCTACTTATTTTTATACATACCTAGTACATTTCATTTAAAGTTTAAAGAAAAAAAAAGATAGGCATAGACTGGATCATTGAAAGAGAACAGGCATTCAAGAGACCCTTCTTTGGGGACTTTCTCTTTTCTTGTGGGAACCGACCTCTACTCAGGAGCCCGGCACTCCAACACCCTCTTATCAGGGCCTCGGTCTGTAAGACGGTTCAAGTTCTGGCTCTGCTGCTTCTTACCTGGACAAGTGGGTAAAAGGGGCCCATCCCTCCCAACCCGCCTCACATGGCTTCTGTGTGACTTCTTGTAGGAAATCACTTACAAACTGACGACATAATAGACACATACAAGGCACTCCTGCTGCTGCTGATGATGATGAATTAATGATAATGAATTAATAAGCATGGTGGCTAGGAGGAGGGTCTCCTCCCTGTCATCATCCCAAGTGGCACCAAAGGTCCCCTCCTTGTCCCTTTGTTACTGGCCTTGGGTCAGAGGGAGATACAAGGCAGGAGGACTTCTCAAGGAATCTTCTGGAATGTTATGGGTTCACTTTATAATTGGCTCTAACTCACCTGTAATATCTTTCTCCTTTCTCCTCATCATAAAATTGCACATCTAAAATAATTTATGATTTACCTCTTTCCAGACAGAGTAGTGGCTAAGAAAGCAGCCGATTTCACCCCTGGTTAGAGGCCGGGAGGAGTAGGGGTCGCGATAACCGGGCAGCATTTCGATGTTCAGGGCCTTGAGCTGGCTGGTGTTGAGGGCCCTGCATCACAGAGAACACGTCTGAAATTAACAAGTCCAAGCGTCCTCGCCACAAAGGCCAGAGAGAGAGAGAGAGCCCTGCACACAGAGAGGAAGACCTCAGGTTTCCATCAGTCCTCACAAGTTCCTCGGGGTCAATCACGGCAGCATCGTGAGCGTGTGAAGACAAGAGGGTGTCATATTTCATAGTGCCCGACGTAGTTCTAAGCATCATTAGTTTTTTGACAACTTCAAAAAATACTCTCCTAATGCAAGAGAGGTAGTTCCCAGGAGCAGTAAATGCTGGAAGGGGGGAGCACAGGCAGGGAGGAGGACAGGGACCGTGTGCGTGTGTGTGTGTGTGTGTGTGTGTGCGTGTGTGTGTGTCTTTCCTTTGGACCTAAAATAAAAACAAGGTTAAAAATAAAAATGGCAGAGAAACATTTCCAGAATTGTGGAGTGAGTAAGGGCGTTTCAAAATCGACTCCTTTATAAAAGTAATGAGGACACTGGCAAAAACTGTCGAAATCAACTTTCCAGACTCTGGACATTAACCGAAGGTTTGCAATAATCCAAGAGGTGTTTATTCAAGACGAACTGCTGAATCTCTGTTAACACAGTGAGCTTTGTGGGGTTTACACCTTCCCTAATCTCATCCTCCCTTCTCGGCCCTAGAGAAGCCTTGAAAACCAGTAGCCTTACAACTATGGCAGCTGTGAAAACCAGCAGCCTAGCAGCCATTGGAGGCGGTGGAGTGAATTAGGACTCCCCAAAGACCTACACCCAGAAGGAAATCCCTGTTCACAACCTACCTGGCAGCTCCCTGGAAAGCTGCCCTGACTCCGAGTTCATTCTGGGCAAACTGTCTTATCTGTAGGGCATTGTCAAAAACCATCAGCAGCAACCGTTTAATGTTACTGCTGTCCGAGCAGCATTATCAGCTCAGGCTAACAATAGGCTAACCAAAAAATTTAAAAGTAAAAACTAAGGAATAAAAGATCCATATGGAGTTTGAAACACTCCAGAATATTCCTGAGACTATAGAAGGCATATTCAGGGCTGTGCACACACTCAGGAAAGACCTGAGAAATCCCTCATCTTTCACCTCTGGCTGACCTTGAAGACCTGGGAGAAAAGGCAGTGAAAGCAAGTGGATTAAACACTGCAATCAGTGGAAGAGCTTGGCATAATGAGTTTTAAAAAATATAATAATACAGCTATGTGATATCTACAAGAGACAGACTTCAGACTCAAAGACACAAATGGGTTAAAAGTAAAAGGACAGAAAATGATGTACCATGTAAACAGCGACCACAAGAGAGCTGGAGGAGCTATACTAATATCAGACAAAATAAACCTCTAGACAAAATTTATACTAGAGGCAAAGAAAAACATTTTTTAACAACAAAAGGGCCAAACCATTAGGAAGAGACAAAGAAAGACATTTTTTAACAACAAAAGGGCTAATTCATTAGGAAGACATAACAATTATTAATATAATTATAAACCTAACAACAGAACCCCCAAAACATGAAGCAAAAACTGGCAGAATTGAATGGAAAAATACATAATACAACAGTAATAGTAGGAGACTTCAATGTCTCACTTTCAATAATGGATAGAACAACCAGGCAGGAGGACAGCAAAGAAATAGAAGATTTGAATAACACCACCAACTAGCCCTAACAGACATCTATAGGACACTCCACTCAGCAATAGCAAAATCCATACTTGGGCACATGGAATATACCATATGTTAGACCATAAGGACCATACAGACCATAAATTAAACCTCAGTATATTTAAAAGGATACTCCAACCTCAATAGAATAAAGTTAAAAATAAAAAACAAAAGCAGACAGAGAGAAATAAGTAAAATGAAACAAATAGAATGAAATTAGTTGAACAACTAAAAAAAAATACATATATACAAAAAATTAGCCGGGCATGGTGGCGCATGCCTGTAGTCCCAGCTACTCGGGAGGCTGAGGCAGGAGGATTGCTTGAGCCCAGGAGTTTGAGGTTGCTGTGAGCCAGGCTGACGCCACGGCACTCATTCTAGCCTGGGCAACAAAGTGAGACTCTGTCTCAAAAAAAAAAAAAAAAAATGAAAAATGAAAGCAAATTTGAGAAATTCACAAATATGTAAGATTAAATAACACATTTCTAGTAACCAATGGGTCAAAGAAGAAATTACAAGAAAAATTAGAAAATATTTTGAGATGTATGAAAAGATAGCATACCAAAACTTATGAGATACTCCTAATACAATACTTAGAGGTATAGTTACAGCTGTAACTCTATTAAAAAAGAATATATCAAATAAATAATCTCACCATCATAAGAAACTAGAAAAAAAGAAGAGAAAACTAAACCCAAAGCAAGGAGAAGGAAGAAAATAATAAAGACTATTATGGAAATAAATGAACTAGAGAACAGAAAAACAATAGAGGAAATCAACAAAACCAAAAGTCTATTCTCTGAAAACATCAACGAAATTAATAATTCTTTATCTAAACTGATGAATAAAAAAGAGCAGACTCAAAGTATTAAAATTCAAGAGGGGTCATCCCTTCAGAACTTATGGAAATAAAAAAGATTATAAGAGAATATTATGGACAATTAATTATATGGCAAGAAATTACAAAACCTAAATGAAATGGACAAATTGATAGAAAGCACAAACTACCAAAACTGACTCAGGATGAAATAGAAATTATGAATATAATAAGTAAACAGGTTGAATTAGTAATCAAAAAGTTTCCCACAAAGAAAAGCCCAAAACCAGATGGCTTCACAGGAGAATTCTGCCAAATGTTTAAAGAATGATTAACATTAATCCTTCACAACTCTTCCAAAAAACAGAAGAGGAGGGAACACATCCAAACTGATTTTATAAAGCCAGTATTATTCCAATACAAAACCAAAGTCATCACAAGAAAATTGTAGATAAATATCCCTTATTAATACAGACACAAAAATATTTTTAAAAAATTACTGGCAAATGGAGTTATACAGCATGACCAAATGGGATTTATCTCAAGATTAAGAGTTTGGTTTAACATGTGAAAATTAATCAAAGCAATGCACAACATTAACAGACGAAAGCCACATGGTAATCTCCATAGACACAGAAAAAGCATTTGACAAAATCCAACACCCTTTTATGATAAAAATAATCAACAAAATAGGAATAAAAGGGAACTTCCTCAAACCAATAAAGGCCATCTGTGAAAAACCCACAGCTAACGTCACTTAATGGGAAAGACTGAATGCTTTCTCCCTAAAATCGGACAATAAAGTCTGCTCTCACCATTTCTACTCAACATTGTATTTGATGATCGAGAAAAGGTATTTAAGCAAGAAAAAAAAAATGGTATCCAGATTTGAAAGGAACAAGTAATACTATCTGTACTTGCAGATTACATGGTTTTGACATAGAAGATCCTAAGGAATACACAAACACAAAGACAAAAAATTTTTTGAACTGATAAAACAGTTCAGCAAGGTTGCAGGATACATGATCAATACACAAAAATAAATGCTGTTTTTATATAGTTAGCAATGAACAATATGAAAATGAAATTAAGTTAACAATTCCATTTATCATGGCATTAAAAGGGTAAAATACCCTTAGAAGGAATAAATTCAACAAAATAAATATAAGACTTGTACAATGAAAATGACAAATTGTCATCCAAAGAGATAAAGAATATCTAAATAAATGGAAAGATATCCTATGATCATGAATCATAAGAGTTCATATTGTTAAGATAGCAATACTCTCCCAATTGATCTACAGATTCAATGCAATTTGAAACCTCAGCTGCTTTTTTCTTTTTTTGTGGAACTTGTTAAGCTAATTCTAAAATTCATATAGAAAAGCAAGGGATGCAGAATACCTAAAACAATCTTGAAAAAGAATAACCAAGTTCAAGGACTCATACTTCCTTACTTACAAAGCTATAGTCATCAAGACAGTAGTAATAGCATAAAGACAGACATACAGATCAATTGAATAATACTGAGAGTTCAGAAATAAACTCTTACATTTACATCAATTGATTTTTGGCAAAAGTGCCAAGATGATTCAGTGGGAAATAAAAAAACAGTCTTTTAAACAAATGGTGCAGGTACAAATGGATAACTATGTGCAAAAAAATGAATTTGGACCCTATCTCATACCATATGTAAAATTTAGCTCAACATGGAACAAAGACCTAAATGTAAAAGATACAACTGTAGAACTCTTAGAAGAAAATACAGGAGTAAGGCTTCATGGCTTTGGATTTGATAATGGATTCTCATATAGGATACCAAAAGCATGAACAACAAGAACAACAAAAAATGCATTGGATTTTATCAAAATGAAAAACCTTTTTGCTTTAATGGGCACCATAATGAAAGTGTGAGAATCTACAAACTGGGAGAAAATATTTTCAAATTATATATCTGATAAAGGACTTGTATCCAGAATATATAAAGAACTCTCACAACTCAAGTAGTTTCCCTGGTCCACGTGGCCTATGCATGGGCTTGAGGCTCTTGAGGGTGTTTGAAGCAGTGGTTCCCAAACTCTACTGCGCCCAAGAATAGTGCTGCCAGATTCAGCAAGTTAAAAACACAAGACACCTAGTCAAATTTAAATTTCAGTGAAACAATGAATAATTTTTTAGTATAACTAAGACCCATGTAATGTTGGAACAAATTCATCTGGGGGTCCTGTATTTTATGTGGTAACCCTACCCAAGAAGCACCTTGAGGCTTCTTCAATGCAGATCCTGGGCTCAGCCCCAGAGATTATGATTCAGCAGGTCTGCGATGGGGCTCAGAAAGCTGCCCTCTTAGCTGTCTGCCCTCTTAGCCGTCTCTGGGGTCTCTGATGGGAGTGTTCAGGCTACACTTTGAGAAACACTAGTTGGATTCTCTATGGGAGTCATAAGAACTTCTTCAACAGCAGTTAGCCATACTTCTTAGTAGGGAGGATGCAAATATAAAACAAAGCCACTTACACATTCCAATCATGGAAAGGAGCATTTTGTAAAAATCTGTGTCTTGAAATAATTTAAGGTGTCAAATAAAAGGGTAAAGCCAAACAAAACAAAAAATAATAACAACAAAAACAAAAGCACTGAAGAAATCTGTCCAATTGGTTTCTCTCTGTGACTTTTCTGCCACATTCCTGGAAAAAGTGGCCACTATGATCAGCCCAGGCAGATTGTGGCAGGCATGTCATGCAACAGGACCTGCAGCCCTTTCTGCATTTTTTTCTATTTATTTTCTTCAGGTTGCTCAAGTTTTAGCACTTTTCTCTAAATCAGGCTCTGGGCACAATGCTGAAAGCATTACTTCTGTTACACCACAGGAATCTGGAAACCTCAACGATTGCAAGAACCCCTGGAAATGGGAGACAGTCAAGTCCAGTGTGAACCTTCAGTGCAATGATGACCAAAGATCACCGGATGGTGAGTGCATTTCAGGCTTGCTCTTCAGGGTAAAACCAGCTTAGACGCTATTATAGGTGGCACGCAGTCATTTAAAAAATGTATCTATCCTTTAATGACCAACGGATCTTAGAATCCGCCCAGGAATAACCCTCTGTCGGAGAAGGCACATCCCCAGTCCATCTGGAAGAAGAGAAAGAAACCCAACTCACTTTCCATCTACAGCCTCGACAATCTTGACCTCAATCTCCTGCTCATACAGCGTGCGCAGCATCCGGTCCCGCCTGTCTTTCCTGCGCTTGAGGTTTATCATGAAAATCTAACACAGGAAGAAAACGGGAAAAGAAACACAGATTACTCAGGTCTGATTTTAGGCTGTTTGAAAAAAGTTTAGTAAATGTAAGGACCAAAGTTTTAGGTAGAATAAGGAATGGGAAGGATAGGGAAAACTGTGGTGAAGATTTGTTTATACCGTGTTTCCCCCAAAATAAGACCTACCCATAAAATAAGCCCTAGCAGGATTTCTAAGCATTTGCGCAATAGAAGCCCTACCCTGAAAAGAAGAAAGAAGACCTAGTGGTGGGCGTGGCTACTCAGAGAGTCTGCACAACCCATGCATTTCGTTGCAGAGCGGGGAAAGAAGACCAGCAGCCCTTCTCATCTGCCCCATTGTGACAGCTACTATCCCAGAGGTGACCGGAAAGTTGCAGGCAGCCCCACCAACAAGGTTGGCTCCCCCTGTCAGGCCCCGGCCATCCTGTGCATGCCGCAAGCTGAGGCTTTGAGGAGAAAATAACACATTCCCTGAAAATAAGCCCTAGGCTGTCTTCTTGAGAAAAAATAAATAAAAGACCCTGTCTTATTTTCAGGGAAACATGGTATTTCAGATTAAGTTTATGTAGAGTAAATGATATTAATCTGAACTGAATTGCTTTAAAAACTATATTTAGTGAAGTAACTCTCTTCGTTTCTCTGATATTCATTGACAAATGTGTTTTCCTTGCTCTTAGGATAGGAAAGTTCAAAAGGTTAATCTTTAAGAGGCCAAAGGTAGTCCTTATTTGCAGATAACATAATCCTATATTTAGAAAAACCTAAAGACTCCACCAAAAAACTGTTAGAACTGATAAATGTATTTACTAAAGTTTCAGGATACAAAACCAACATCCAAAAAGCAGTAGCATTTCTGTATGTCAATAGTGAACAATCTGAAAAAGAAATCTAGAAAGCAATCTCATTTATAATAGCTATGAAGAAATTAAATACCTGGGAATAAATTTAACCAAAGAAATGAAAGATCTCTATAATTAAAACTATAAAACACTGTTGAAAGAAATTGAAGAGGACATTAAAAAGTAGAAAGATATCCCATGTTCATGAATTTGAAGAATTAACATTGTTAAAATGTCCATACTACACAAAGTGATAAATAGATTCAATGTAATTCTTATCAAAATACCAATGATATTCTTTACACAAATAGAAAAAACAATGCTAACATTTATATGGAACCACAAAGGTCTCAAATAGCCCAAACAATTCTGAGTAAGAGAACAAAGCTAGAGGCATGATACTACCTGACTTCAAAATAATACAAAACTATAGTACCCAAAACATCATGGCATAGGCATAAAAACAGACATGTGGATCAATGGAACAGAATGGAGAGTTCAGAAATAAATACATGCATTCACAGCTAACTCATTTTCAACAAAGGCACCAAGAACATACTTTGGGGAAAGGACACCCTCTTCAATATTGTGCTGGTAAAACTAGATATCCAAATGCAGAAGAATGAAACCAGACTCCTATCTTTCACCATATATAAAAATCAAATCAAAATGAACTGAAGACTTAAATGTAAGACCTAAAACAATAAAACTACTAGAAGAAAACTTTGAGGGAAATGTTTTAGTACACTTGTCTAAACAAAGATTTTTTTGTGTGTAAGACCACAAAAGCACAGGCAACAAAAGCAAAAATAGACAAATGGGATCAAATCAAGCTAAAAAGCTTCTGCACAGCAAAGAAAATAATCCCAAGTGAAGAGACAACCTACAGAATGGGAGTTTTTTTTGCAAGCTATCCATTTGACAAGTAATTAATAGCCAGAATATATAAGGAACTCAATTCAATAGCAAAAAAATAAATAATTCAATTAAAAATGGGCAAAAGATCTAAATAGACATTTCTTTTTTTTTTTTTTTTTTTTTTTTTTTTTTTGAGACAGAGTCTCACTTTGTTGCCCAGGCTAGAGTGAGTGCCGTGGCGTCAACCTAGCTCACAGCAACCTCAAACTCCTGGGCTCGAGTGATCCTTCTGCCTCAGCCTCCCGGGTAGCTGGGACTACAGGCATGCGCCACCATGCCCGGCTAATTTTTTTTTTTATATATATATCAATTGGCCAATTAATTTCTTTCAATTTATAGTAGAGACGGGGTCTCGCTCTTGCTCAGGCTGGTTTTGAACTCCTGACCTTGAGCAATCCGCCCGCCTCGGCCTCCCAAGAGCTAGGATTACAGGCGTGAACCACAGCGCCCGGCCCTAAATAGACATTTCTAAAAAGAAGACATACAAATGGTCAACAGATATATGAAAAAATGCTCAAAATCACTAATCATCGGAGAAATGTAAATCGAAACTGCAATGAGGTATCTCACCCCAGTTTAAATGGATATTATCAAAAAGACAAAAATGGGCCTGGGGCAGTGGCTCATGACTGTAATCCTAGCACTCTGGGAGGCTGAGGTGGGCAGATCGTCTGAGCTCAGGAGTTCAAGACCAGCCTGAGGAAGAGCAAGACCTCATCTCTGCTAAAAAAAAAATAGAAAGAAATTAGCTGGAAAACTAAAAATATATATAGAAAAAATTAGCCAGGCATGGTGGTGCATGCCTGTAGTCCCAGCTACTCGGAAGGCTGAGGCAGGAGGATTGCTTAAGCCCAGGAGTATGAAGTTGCTGTGAGCTAGGCTGATGCCACAGCACTCTAGCCTGGGCAACAGAGTGATTTAAGGCAAAGAAGATGAAGTGCATAATAATTTTATTACCTCCCTTGTTTGCCTAACAGGGTAATTATTTTTTAAAAAAACATAATTTACATGGTGACTCTATTTGCCTTATAACTTGGGACTTTATAACTTAATGGGTTGTGTTTTTCTGCATTTCATTTTCTCCCCTGTTTAGAATCCCACTGCCACGGGCCATGCTCCATCCCTCCGTTTTACAGATTTGGGAGGGAAAGGGCTTTTCCTCCTGTGTAAACACGGAGCCACCTGGGGTGACTTCAGGAGAGCAAAAACACATCACAACCCAAAATAGACAGAGATGCACCCCCCTAAGTCCCCTCAGACCAGAGACGTCCAATCCGGGAAGACTTCAGTAAATAACAATCCAGTCCCAGTCCTGGCCAGGATAAGTGCCATGAAACTGTAGCCACGAAGGACAGCAGACGGCTCACTCACGCTGAGTGAACAGCAACAGAGACAAGAGCCACACGGCCAAATGCAGTCTGGATGCCCCCAGTGAGGTCGCAGAACACTAGGACGATTGAAAAGGCCCCTGAACGTCCCTTTTTCTGCCCTCCCATCTCTGTTGCAGGAGGATCGACAATTTCCCCGGGCTCAGCCTCCGACCTGTGTCACCTTCCATAGGGTTGGCATTTTCCCGAAGGGCTCTGGGAGTGACCCAGCTCCCACACTGTGTCCCACCGAAAGGCCAGAGCTAGATGATCCTGGGTTTTGTCCCATTTTGTTTGCTTTGGTTTGGTCCTCATAGGTGTGTGTTTGTAGGAGGAAAAATGAATGTCCGTGAAGCCACGTGGGTACTCTCACCTGTGAATAGCAAGCTGAAAGCTGGTGAGAGCTGCAGAGAAAGAAAACAGCGGGGCCACGTGGAGGCCGCGCCAGTGTGTGGCGTGGGCCAGCCCTGGCTGGTTTTGAAAACTATTTACAATGGAGTCTCACTCCTCTCTACTACATTTAAGCTCAACTCCTCTCATTCTGCGCTCTGTGGAAATAATGTCATAGCTGTTAACTCTTCCCCATTTAATATTCATGCAATACTCTTTCCTATTCCTGAAGTCTAGCTGCAAATCAGTTTTACAGAAGAAGTCCCAATTCCCAGGTCTAGCAGCTCTTTAAGGCAGCTGGACTTGGGGGACAGGGGTGTACACGCCGCAGTGTAACAAACAAGGCATTTCCTTGCCGTGGCAGTGAGTACAAACAGCACAGGGTGTGGCCTCCAGAAGCCACGGGAAAGTTCCCTTTCGGTTTGTGGATTCCTGGGTCACAGTCCTGGCTTCCAGACCACCAGGCTTCTTCTGGATATGGCTGAGCAGCTACACGAGGGACCTATGACGGAGTCAGTGACTTGCTGTCACCACTCTGGCCCTGCCAAGTGTCTGCTGTACATATTACCAAGAGAGGCACCGCTTTATATTTCTGCTCCATTCTTTATACAACTAAAACTTAATAATAAATATGGCCCTTAGAAAGCTGTTAAGAAATTCTTGACTGCTAAAGGGTAGAATTTGAGAACAAGTTTCTTTTTCTTTCTTTCTTTGTCCTCTCAACCCTGTCCTATGATCTTGTCCCATGGAAGAATAGTAGAAAGAAAATAAAGCATTGAGTATTCCAGAATGGTTTCCACGCAGATGTGGCAGAATAAAGTTAAAATCCTCCAATGCCTAACCCTCTTTACCCTACCTGCCTTTAAACCTTGATGAGACGGTTGATATGACAATACCTGCTCCTAGAAAGTATCACATTCACTTTCATTACTAAATGGAAATCTTTCTGACTCAATGATTAACTCCCTTTTAAGTTAAGAAAACTGGGAGGAACAACAGAAACCAAGTAGTTTTCCCAAGATCTCAGAGCCTTTTCAGCAGCCCAGGCAACCTTGCTGGTTCTCGGACATGTGCTCAGGCTCCTGTTCCAGTGTAAACATGTAAGCATGTGGCACACACGCACACACGTGCACGTGTACATGCACGGACACACCTTTCCTACCTCATCAAATCCCATCTTGTCTGGATATTTCGGGACAGTTGAGACATACTGGGAGGGTTCCATTGGAGGATGGTCAACTGGAAGACACAAGAAACAGGCGGAGTGCTTTGTTAGCGACAGGATTGGAAAACAGAATCCCATCTGCACACCTGAGCCCTAGGGCTGCAGCACAGCCTGGACATACAGGGCAGGGGTAACTGCTCACAGTCCCCCAGGACTCAGTGGCCTCACGGGAACCCCGATGGTCAGGGCACTGGTTTCAACAGCACTTGTTCACACGAAGACTGCAGCATTATTCTAAGAGTATTTGGGAGCCATTTAGGGTAATGGTTAAGAGGGAGGGCTCTGGAGTCAGAGGATCTGGGCCCAAATCTTGGCCTGTGGAGGCCCAGGAGACTTAGAGGATCTCTCTAAGGCTCTAATTTCTTTGTGTGTAAAACTGGGATAATAAAAGTGTATCTCTTACTGTGTTATAAAATGTAAATGAGACCTGCTTGCAAAGCACTCACCACATTAACATAGTAAATGTTCAATAACTCGGCTATTACTTACCGTGGCCCATGATGAAAGGGCTCAGAATTTTTCTATGCATTTAAAATTGTCAAGGTTTGGAACTATTTTTAACCCATCCAGGCAGGTTCGGCTACAGGTGTGCAAAAGGTCCTTTGTTTTAACACAATCTTACCTCTGAGGGCTGGCCCACATCCCAGAACTTGGCAGAGAGCTAACAGGAGAATTCCAGCTGGAGGGACATTGCATCTTAAGTGATAAAAGTCTTATTTATTTGATACTCTGAAAAAAACTTTTTTTGCTAACTGCATATTTTAAAGATTGGAAGTAATATTGGTTAAAGAACCTGAGACGGCCTTGAAGGATTTTTAGTATTGTACAAATTCGAAGTACTCATTTGATTTTTCCTTAAAGGAATAATACAAAGAAAACTTAAAATGAGAGCTGGTAACTGGGTTGTTCAAAGAATTATCGGTGATGGCCATTACTACTGCCATCAATAATCTATTCTCCTCTATCCCAGGCACATGCCATGAATACATTTTCTTGCCTTTGAAGTTGCTCATGGCCATGTGACTTTCTTGGTGAGGTTTAAATTGTTGCTGCTCAAGGCTCCAAACCCCGCCCAGTCCCACCACAATGATCACGGCAGCACGTGTTGATGTGCAGAAGCCACAGACTTGCAGCAGCCTGCAAGGCTGCACGACACATGGAGAGCAGCTGCCCAGAGACGCACCAGACTGCAGACTCTGAACAGCAAGAGATGAGCCCTTGTCGTTTGAAGCCAGTAAGGTTTTGCTATCTCAGCGTGACTTTGCCTGTCCTGACCGAGCTACTGTCTGGTGGGTCTGAATTGTTTAACTTACCCTTCACTGAGATATTAAAGAGAAACCATGACATCCAGTTTCACTTATGATCAAATGATGGGAAATTCTAGAAGGTAGTGAGACAGGTTTCCTAAGTCAGACACAAGAGCCGGTCTCATTACTTCAAACTTGATACTTACAATCACACTTCTGTGAGTACACAGTGCATGAGGGTTTTTTTCCAGTAGTGGTCCAGACTATTTTGGTCCTTTCTGCTTTACTCCACTCCTTACTATTCATAGTTTCTTTTAAAATCAACAGGGAGGGTCCACCATGTACAGGGGTAGGTTTTAAAGAGAAAGGAACTTAATGTACTGATTCACTGTGTTGTTTGAGGAGGTGTCTGGCTCTCCCTGCCCGGGCCTTAGACTTGGGAGGAGGTTATGTTTTGAGTCACCTTTCCCAGGCTGCTGGTCTGGTTTGGCACTCACAAGGCCTGTGTGGCTTTGACATTTCAGCCAAAGAGACTGCTTTTAGCCACTGTGCTTCCAGCCAACATGGACCGACATTGTGTTCACAGGACAAGTGTAGCAAGAAAGCCACACACACAAGTGGCTGGCTCCTGAAAGTCACTATTGAGCAAAAATATCAAAGAAGTGTGCCTGGGTTTTGCCACCTAAGGCAGCACTAAGCCACAGAGGAAAACAGGAAGTGATACAATCAGTTCGACCTAAGGAACTTACTATGGGGGAGAGGGGTGTGTCTTTGCTGACATCAAACTGGAGGTTTAGGTTTATGCCAGCTTCTGTTTGTGGTCATTTCTGACTCCATCATTCACATATATATATATATATATTTTTTTTTTGAGATGGGATCTCACTATGTTGTCCAGGCTAGTCTTGAACTCTTGCCTCAAGTGATCCTCCCATCTCTGCCTCCCAAGTAGCTGGGATTACAGGTCATCATTCATAATTTATCCAGTCTATCATTGAATCACTTCCTGTAAATGGTCTGCCCCCACCCCCCACCATACCACCACTTGGGCTTCGTTGGTTCTTGGATAGTTTCAAGACCTAGGAATAATAATTATAGCTATTGTTCTAGAGATCTTATTGCTCATGGAACTATAGGCTGCCCACTTGACATATATAATCACATTTATTTAATCTTATCATATAGCATGGGATAGATATGAGTGTTTCTATTTTTACAGACAAAGAAACAAAGATTTAAATAACTTGCCCAAGGTCATAGAGCTGGTAGAGCTGGTGTTTGAACCTAGGTCTGGCTTTTGTACCTGAGCTCTTAAGCCCCACTCCATGCCCCTGCCAGAGCTAGTCCTTGGTGGCCGCTGGTGTTTGGCATCTGGCCAGCTGGGCTGGGTTCACAGGAGCTCGTTTAGCCCAGACATGTCATTTAGCCCAGACAAAAGCACCTGAGATATTGCAGTTGGATCAAATCCTAACACTTCTCTATTCTGTCGCCTGAAATTCCAGTGCTTCAGCCCTCTCCCTGGCCCAGGCCCTCACCCACCGTGCCTGGGCTGTTCTAATATTTTTCAAACACTGGCATGCTCTCAGTCTTTCCTATTTAACTCATTATGCCCACTGTTGTCAAAATAATCTCCCTCAAGCACATCTCCGTTCTAGACCCTAACAGTCACACTTGGCAGGATACTTAAGTGGCTTACATTTGCTAAGGCTTTCATAGTCACCACGTAATTTTATCTTCTTTTCGTTGTCATTTGTTCTTACAAATGAAGAATCTGAGACTGATCCAGATGTAGACTTGCCCGAGGGCAAACAGTGAGAGATTAGCCACTTGGAACTCAGTTTTAGACCTTCTGACTTCAAATCCAAAAATCTTAGTAATCTTTACGTGACGTTCTGGTGCCTCAAAATGTGGACACAGGACTGAGAACAGACACCTGAGACTTCCTGTCGCCTCATGCTGGGATTTGCAAGACGAATCTCTTCCTGTTTCATGACGCATTTATAGCTACCACCTTTACAAGATCTAGCCTGTCATTCTGTCATTCCTCTCCCCAAAGAAGCACATCCCGTTCTCTGCACAGCTCCTAATGCGCTAAATGAGTTAGCAAGTGCAGAGCGATGGGCACAGTGCTTTTAGTGAATGTTAGCTGTTGTTATAACCCATCTCCCACCTCACTCAGATGCTTGCACTCTGATCTCTACAACTGCACTCTACAACTCATAAACTCCCGGGCCATTCCTGCATAGAGAATCTCCATTCTTCCACTGATCCGCCCTAATCCTGGATAAACCCGATGGCCCGCTTAGTCAGGACCAGGAAGACAACTGCGGGAGAAGTTCACAATTGTGTTGACCGAGTCACTTCCAAGTGACAGCCACACAGGCCAAACTGTCTCTTGACATTGCCGAGTGCTGCAGGTATATTCCATAGTGGCCTTACTGCCCCGCTTTTGAGAGATCTATTGTATGCCTTCGCTCTCCTAAAATCTCCAAATTCTCTGGAGACTGGACTCCGTACTTCATAGAGAAAATATTCAGAATCAGATGAGAGCTACCTTTTCTTTCCACCTCAAGTCCACAGACCCAGCTGCACGTGTGCCTGCCCGTCCTGCCATCTGTGGGCCGCAGTGGCTGGGGCGTCCCTGTTTCTATCCAGGACGACCTCGCCAATCCTGTCTTGGGCGACAAGTCCTCTTGTTTTCCCAAGGATTTCGGTCTTGCAATGACCTATTCTTCTACATCATCCAGGTCTCCTTCTAGATTGGAACCTTCTCATTAGCACAAAAACATGCTGTCATTTCCTATTTTTTAAAAACTAACACAGACAAACCAAGCCGAACTGGAAAAACTTCCCCCTCGATTTCTCACCCGCTAACAGGCTGCACCCCACTTCTCCGTCCCCATCCCATCAAGGTGTCGCTCTCTCATCTCCCCATTGTCTTCCCCTCGGCCTGGCCCCACAGGCCGTGTTCTCATCACTGCACTCGAGTGGCCCTTACCCGGGGCTCGCAGACCGCTGACCGCCGCCAGTTCTTCATCCTCATTTTACTTGGCTTCTCAGCAGCATCTGGCTCTTTCTCGAAAGACTTCTCAATCTTCCCCCCCCAGCTCTCCGGCTGTTTGTCTTCCCCGGGGATCTGTCCTTTTCTCTGTCTGTGTTCTTTCAGTACATGAGCTCACACTGTTCTGTGGCTGCAAATATCCCTTTACGCTCACAATTCTCAAATGTCTGTCTCTAGCTGGACTCTCTTTCTTGAACTCCAGACTCGTACATCCAACTATCTCCTCAGCTCTCTATGCAGATGTCTGATAAATATCATAAGCTTACGTAACCAAAGCTCCCCACCCCAAATCTTTTCTAATGAACCCCTTCCCGTCGCAGTAAACGTTAGATCAGGCCCAAATCCTCAAGTCATTCTTGATTTCTTCCTTTCCTTCATGGACTGCGTCCAGGTCTCCGTAAGCCCTGTTGGCTCCACCACTGACATACGTCCTCGCTCTGTCTCCTTCTCGTCACCTCCCTGCCACTGCTCCCGCCCCAGCCACCATCATCCTTACCCCGAGAGAGGAACTGGACCCCCACACCCTGGTGTCCACTCCACAGCCCGAGGGATCTCTCCAAATACATAAATCACATCGTGCCACCCCTCCGTGGATTCCCATCACTCTCTGAATTAAATCCTTAATTTTATTTGCAGCCACGGAACAGTGTGAGCTCATGTACTGAAAGAACACAGACAGAGAAAAGGACAGATCCCCGGGGAAGACAAACAGCCAGAGAGCTGTATTCCTTACCATGACCGGAATGTTCTGCACAATCTGGACGCTTCTTGCCCCATGATGCCATCTCCTTCTACCCAACTCCTCATTCTCCGCACCCCGAGCACACCGGCCTTTTGTCCCTGGAACAGCCCAGCTTTCTCCTGCCTCACACCCTTTCCCTGGCTGCTCTCTCTGCTTGAAGAGTGTCCTCCCAAATATTCACGAGGCTGATACATTGTCTCTCTTGCTCTGTTAGAGTATTGGTGGCAGGGCTTGGTGACACAGTGTCTGCTTGTTTTGCCACTGCTGTATGCCCAGCATTTTGAAAAGTCTATGAAATAGAGAATTTGTTGAATAAACACTTATAGCCCGACTCTCTCTTCTAAAACCTTCATTGACACCTTAGGAGGGGCGTTCTGCTTCCACTGGACACGCGAGGACCACAGCAATGAGGCCACCCCACGCTCTCAAACTTTATTTCCTTCTTCTGTTTTAAGCCAATTGTCTCCCAGGATGAGAACGTCTTGTCTCTGCTCGGTCTGTTTCCTCCGCCCGTGCTGTCCTCACCGTGACCCTCCTCTTGGTTGAACTCCACACTCTGTCCAAGCTCAGCTGAAGAACCATCCAGACTGGAAGCTTCCTGGATCACACAGGCCACGGTGAGCTCTCTCTAGTCCAGAGATTCCTATTGTCTTTATATCTGCTCCTTTCACAAAACACCACACTGCATTGTTGATGCCTTTCTTATGTCTGTCCTAACTAAACCATAAGGACCTGAAAACAGAGAATTGGTTATAAAACGTTTTGAATCCCCAGCATCTCTGTAGAGTGATTTATGCATGACAGGTAGGCACTCTATGTTTGGTAGTGAATAAAATGCATGTTCTAATGTTTCAATCTAATAGTCTAATGACACCATTAGTAGCCATTTATTTGTTGCTTATTGAGTTCCAGACACTGTGCAAAGCGTTTTTAACATCTAGTTCATCTTTCCCCAGAGGAGGACACCTGACCAACATGATTTTGTCATTAGCAACTTTTTATTAATCTTACATGGACCTCCGGTCCATATTTCTGTGTTATAGCCCCAAAAGTTTTGTTTCCCAATAGTTTCTTATTTCAATTATATTCTATATTTTAAAATTCAGGAAAGGAAGTACAAGAATTGAATAAAATGCCATATATAAAGTGCTTAGCACTAGAGTTAGCATGTGCTGGGAGATCAATAATGAAAGCTATAATGTACAAGTTCTTCTCAAATGTGCACATTTGTCATTTGTAACTTTTATTGACAACGTGTGCATTTCTCTGCACTGAGAACTTTTTATGCTGACCGTCCCCTGGGAAAACACAAGGGAACACAAGGTTCTAGCCAGCCTTTTTCTGAGCTGCCGTCTACTTGGGAGTCAGGACTGATAGCCATGGAATAGGGGTGATAAGGGGTAGAACTTTACCAAGTGCTAACTGGGGTCATAAGAATGGTAACATTTCAGTATTTTATGGAGCTGACATACATTATTTTATTTGCTCCTCTCAACCTTGCAAAGTCAGTGTTATTATCCTCACTCTACAGATGAAGAAACTATTAATAAAGCCCCGAGAAGCTGATTCTCCCTTCCTAAGTGAGACAGCCTAGGTTAAAGTTCATAATTCTTCAGGTTCAGTGCTCTTGGCAGTATAGTTTGCATTCATTTACTCAGTCATTCATTCACTTATCTGGTCATGCATTTAGCAACTATTTGTTTGGTACCAACTTTGTGCCATGCACTGTGCTAGGTGCTCGGGATAGAAGACAACAAGATACCACCATTGTCCTCTGGGCCTAGAACAGAGAGAAAGAGGCAGAAACAGTATGTATTAAAGAAATTCACAAAAGGGATTCCTAAGGGCTGGTTCAAGAAATGCTGTCACAGTGAACCAAAGCCTTGTTCCATCATTCATTTGTTCAACCATTCGACAGATATTTACTAGGTGTCTACTAGGCGCCAGGCAACGTGCTAGGTGCCAAGACTAACACGATGAAAAAGGAATTACAGTGTGAGGGCAGGGGAGCTGGAAACAGGTGCAGGCAGTTCAGTGGGTCTAACATTAAACTCATGATCTTTCTTTTCAAAACTGTCCTTGATTCTACATACCATTTACAAGTCCTGAAATCATCCCAGACATGAAGGTGGAACTTAGGAGTGTTTCTCTCTGCTTCTCTTTTGCTCATCCACCTGCAGCCGACTCTTGGCTAAGTCCTCTCTGGTCCATGTCCCGAGCTTCTTAATGGAGAGAACGCCATCCCCACTGCCGTGGCCCTGGCCCAGGTCCTCATCACCTTTTGCCTGGTTTGCCATGCAGTGTCCAGAGTGGTCTTTTCGCCTCTGCCCCACTGCCCACCCATGCTCCGCGCATCATTCTCTTACCGCCCAGTGACCTTTCTAAGTCCAAAGTCAACCTGACATTTTGTGCTAAAATACCTTTGAAAGCTCCCCTCCCTTCAGGCAAAGCTCAAACACCTTCTTATACATCAGAGGTCCTCCTGGCTGGGCTCTTGCCCTCTTTTAACCTCACGTCCCTCTGTTCCTTCCAACCACCTCCACTGCCCACATCCACACACCCTGTGCTCTAACGATGAGTCACAGAAGATACTCCCCCTCTGGGAAGCCACTTCCGCTGTCTTTCCCTAGGCTGGGTGGATCAGTTACTTTCTCCTTTGCCCACCACTGCACATCACACATAATAATAAGTGCAGCTACTGATGATTGAGCACAGCAATTCATACCTCATACCAGACCCAGAGGCAACAGTGTGTAGTGCTGAAGGACATGAACTTCAGAGACAGCAAGTTGGTTCAAATCCCAATCTGTCCTTTGTTTAGCAGAATGATCTAGGGCAAGTTACTTAAGGTCTCTACATCTCAATTTCTTCATCTTCAGTATGAGAATAATAAGATCCCCTTCATTCAGTTGTTGTGAGGATTAATGGGACCGTGTATGAAAGGTGCTTAGCATGGTATCTGTTAAATCATAAGCTATTATTAAGTTGAAGTCATAATTATTGTTGTTGCATTAGACTTTTTACGCATAACGTGATGAATCTGCTCCCCAAACCCTGGAAGTTTTCATTATCTCCATTTCACAGCTAAGGAGGTTACTTGCTCAAAGTCATATAACCAGAAAGCAGCAAAGTTAGGGTTGAAATTCACACCACCAAACACAATTGCAGCACTTATCACAATTGTGCAAAGTATTTACGTGTGGAGAGTATTTACTTGTGTACCCAGCTCTTCTCTGGCGTGGGAGGCTCCCTGAGGACAAAAACCTTGTCATATTCATATTTTACCTAGGAAAAGTTTAAGAAAGAATGAACAAATAGATATATATTCAGCCAAGGCAGACTGATATCCGTGAGATGCCAGTCCCGGAAAAGGAGAGAAGTGGCTGGTCTGGTCACTGTGGCAAAGGAACAAGAGCTGTCACCCCGGCTCCTGTCACTCACTCATTGCTTCTATCTGCACGTGGATGAGGTTCTCGACGTCCTCCTGCAGTGTCTGATGCGGCTTCAGGGGGATGGGCAGGTAGCCGTAGTGCTCTCTGTTGCACAGGTGCATCTGGATGCCTGAGGACCCAACAGAGGGACAAAGTCAACCAATCAGAAAGCACGCTGCTTAGTGGCAGCTGCGGAATGGGAGACTGGCCTGTGGCTGCTGCTGAGTTTGACCCAAGTTAAACGAGTGGTTGTTTCAGGTATGTCCATAGACCTCAAAAATGTTCCTTTATTAAAAAAGTCAAACACAGCACTGGGGACTAATGAAAACACTGAGCCATTCTTCAGCCCAGAGGAAATTGATTTTTTTCCCTCTGAAGAAAAAGCAAACTCATGGCCTGGAATGAACACCGAAGGCATGAAGGGATCAAAACGGAGGCAAGGAATTCCCATCCCAGAGAGCAGAATGGAACCCTGTAATCCACCTACAGGAAATCACAAAAAAATGAGGAATGAAATCCACATTTGATATGAAAGCAAACAGGAAAATTCTGGAAGGCTGACAGATTATCAAAGCTAAATCTAGGCATACATAGAACAAAAAAAAAAAAAAAAGAAAAAGAAAGAAATAGAAAAAACAAAGGAAATTTAAAATTTTCCATAATTCTCCTTAGTTTTATGTCTTCCTTTAGCAGGCATGGATATGGAGTCGACCAACAGACAAGAAACTTCCAAAATCAGTTCATACAGGGACAGCAGACAGTCTGCATTTCCAGGCCTGTGAAGAACCCACAGGGTCACGATAGCAGCGCCCTCTTGTATCAGCACTGGTCCTCACAGCCCCGGCTGGCGAACGCTGAGGGCGATAAGGCATCTGACTTTGACCAGACTGCTAGGATCACAGGAAGCAAGGTGGTTGCATATAGATTCAGCAACTGATGGTCCTGACTAATGAAAAGATTGCTTAGTTAAAAGGATGAGTCTGCCAAGCACTGGTCCATGTGTCCAAGTCTCAGATTGGTTAATTGCTATAATCACCAGTGTTTTCCTGAGAGAGAATTAGCTGCACACTGACTTTTCTATTTTGTGCAGATGAAATTTCCTCCTGTCAGCTGCATCACCTGCCAAGCCAGGTGAAGCTGTCTCATGGTATTAACAGGGAAGAATGGGTAAAGAAAAGAGCCTTTATCCCCCATTTTTACTGAATCTGGCTTGAATCAAGGCTGGTCCACTAAGCACTGGCTCTCCTGCCTTCACCAACTGAGCTCACTAGCTCTGCTGTCCACCCACACGATGCTTCTGGGAAACTTCAAATAAAAATGCACCTTCTTACAAAGTCATGATGAATTCAGGAAGTGGAAGGAAAAAGATTTAATATTAAGGCATATCTCTACCTTAATTAGGCAAAAATATTTTACCATTTAACTTTCCAAAGCTTCCATAAAAAGGAGGTATGATACCTAGCCAAGCTATCCATCAAGTGTGAAGGTACAAAGAAGGCATTTCAGACATGCAATAAAATATTTAATTCCCATCACACTTTCTCTGAAAGTTACTGGGTGATGTGGAAGAAGGAGGAGGAGAAAAAGGAGGAGGAGGAGGAAAAGGAGAAAATTACAACCAACGAGAAAGACTTGGGACACAAACAGGAGAGTCAACGCATAAGAGGAGTGAGTCCCAGGTTGAGAGCTGCAATATCACTCAGAATAGAGTATGTCAGAAGGCCCCAAGAGGGACATCTTCACAAATATGGAAAAAAGGACAGTTCAATGAACTGAACATCTTGAGAGGAGTTTGCAAAAATTAGTGATTAGTTTTGGATTGTATTAGTAATAAAATAAAAAAAAGAAGCAAAAAAAGGGCAATTATTAAGTTAGACAAAGGAAAACTAGCCATAGTCTGTATTGGCTGAGTTTGGGATTAGGTTCCCCTGGCCCTGGATCTATCTTAAACTACCCTGAGAGGATGGGGTGATGAGAAGGATGTTATTGCATGCAGCGGCAGAAGGTGGAGAGAGGGCTAACTCCTTGCCTTCTGGATGGCAGTTATAGATAACTCCTAGAGAGAGAGAAGCCAGAGGATCAAGAAGGAAAATACAGCATGTTAGTTAGAAACAGGGATGTAAATATCATCATTTAAAAAGTAAAAGTGGTCATCTTCTGGAAGAGAGAAATGATGCAGGGGAGATGTGCAGGGGCTGCTCAATTCTTAACCTTGGGGAACTATCAGAACATTTCAACTATGTGCATGGACGAGTTGATACAAATAAAACAAAATTAAAAAGAAATGTGTTAATAATTAGATAAAATCTAGGAAGGCATCTGGCACTCTCAGGGAAAGCTGCTACTGGAGAAAACAATTTTCTTTTTGAAAAAGAAAGGTGAATTATACTATCCTTTGAAGGACTTTGTTTGTCTTATAAAGATTTCAAATATTACCTTGTACTCACATAGTCCCTTAACAATGCAGATGGTATAACTGTCTGTATCCTTGGTGATGAAAAGTCAGACTTAGAGAGGCTGTGACTGACACAGGAAGGGCGATTTTTTTTTTTTTTTTGAGACAGAGTCTCGCTTTGTTGCCCAGGCTAGAGTGAGTGCCATGGCGTCAGCCTAGCTCACAGCAACCTCAAACTCCTGGGCTCAAGCAATCCTCCTGCCTCAGCCTTCCAAGTAGCTGGGACTATAGGCAAGTGCCACCATGCCCGGCTAATTTTTTCTATATATATTATTAGTTGGCCAATTAATTTCTTTTTATTTATAGTAGAGACGGGGTCTCGCTCTTGCTCAGGCTGGTTTCGAACTCCTGTCCTCGAGCAATCCGCCCTCCTCGGCCTCCCAGAGTGCTAGGATTACAGGAGTGAGCTACCGCGCCCTGCCAGGAAGGGCGATTTTGATCACTACCAGCAACGTCCAGGAGGCAGGTCGCCTGCCTGTCACCCACAGCACTCACCTCTTCTCACCCCCTTGTCTTTTTGACATCTAGAAGATGACTGGCTGGCGCCAGGGATGGTTCCTGTGGCCGTGACACAGGACCCAGGTCTCTGGCCACAGTGGGAGGTGAACCCCCGGCCTGGCCTCATCATAGCCACAGGGACTTGCCTGGGGCCGTGGCTCTCTCCTCGGGCGGGACAGACAGCCGGGCCCAGCTCACCAGCACACTTGGCTCCTCCTCTCACTCCTCGCCCCCGGGGGCCGCGGCGAGAGTCTGGGGTGCAAGATGCAGGACTGCGGGCTGCGGTCAGACGGCCCTGCCTGGGACATGCACACCCTTTATTTCCTTTTGGACTTTTAAAAAATCATGCTCCAACGGATGACACACAGCTACGGAGCTTCAGAGGAGTGAGAAGAAAAGAACACAGGTCGGCCTTCGTCGGGACCCTCCCAGGGAGCGGGGACCTGCCCCGTTTTGGACGGGACAAAGGGAGGGAATCGGGACACACCACGGGCTGCACACGTGACTCCGGGCTCATCCGTGTTTCTCCCCAAAATACTTACAGATAACTAAAATGCTACTTTAGAACTGCCATTGTTGGGAAATATCTTTCATTTCTCCAAAATGACAGTGATCTTTGTTGCCTCGACTCCCAACCCTGTCCACAGTCTGTGCCCCTGATCCGCCCTCAGCTTTCACGACTATTGGTTATGTTTTCACACGCAAAAGCCTTAACTCCCAACTAACGCAGAGTCTAACACGATTCTAGGCACCAAAGTGAAGCCTTGCGGGTTGATCCTCTCTCCTCCTTTTTCTACCTCTCCTCTCCCTCCCCGAGCCACCAAACAGCTGTGGGCGTCCGTGCCTGCTCTCAATGCTCCGAAAAGGCCTCCGGGAAGTCGGAGCGATAATGCACAAAGTCCCGGTGAGCAGGCCACGCACAGGGCAGAGCTGACAAATTCCTGCCCCACCTGGGCCACGCTTCCAGCCCAAACATCCAGGTATTATTGGTTTCAAAAATGTATCATAATAATTTAGTGCATGGGGTCACAATAATACCTTGTGCAATGTCTATACAAAAGGACTCTGTCAGGCAGTGACCATTATTGTAATTGTTAACAGCTCGCGTTCTTGGAATATCCTTACTGCAAGCTCCGAAGCAAAGGCACTGGCACAACTTGAAGGAGTGAGAAGGCCCAGACTCTGCCTCCCATCCTGGAGAAGTCGGAGCAAATCACGGACCACACTGAGAGCAGCAGTTTCCATTAACACTGACACAAGAACCTTCATGAAAACTTTCAATCCACCCGAGGATTGCTTTTGCCTGACACAAGGCCTAAAAGCTGCCTACACTTGGCCAAAGGATCTAAGTTGCTCTAGCAGCCAGGGGGGAAAAAACAGCCTCACACATTTCTGTCAAATATTCTCATTCCACCAAATCTACACTGAGGAGTGAGACACCCATGGCTTTAAGGACAGTCTGACGTGTGAGTTGAAGTTGAACTTGTGATAACACTCTCACCCGCCAGCACCTCCCTCAGCTGCCCGGGGTCCCTGCATGGTCTGTTACCTGCCCTAAGGCACGTGGGCACAGAGAGCTTATTCACCGTCTTCCCGACTCATGACCTATCGTTGCGGGTGGTTAAGTCGCACGTTTCTGGCACATTGATAACGGGATCTGATTTCCATCTGGAAGGTCTAAATTATCCTAATAAAACTTTGCTTTAGTAATGCCACGTGTCTTCCTGTTACACTGCTTTTGTGAATTCTGTGCCCCCTGGTAGCAGGGGTGGGGTGAAATGAGACAAACAACTTTCCTTCCTATAGAACTGTCTTTTGCAAAAGGCCTACAGGCCCCACTGGAAATGCTTTCCCCATGGTTCAGTCTGGCTTTCCTCTCCTCCCACACGGACTGAGGACTCCCAATGTCTGTTCTTTCCTTCTAGAGTGAGAAAATTGGGGCCGTGCCCACATAAAGACGACACGCCACGCCTTCCTCACAACTGGGTCTTGTTCTGTGACTAAGCTCTGGCTGGAGGGACACGTAGGGAAGTGCTGTGTTCGTCTTCTTGATTGTCCCCTGACAGGAACACAGAGTGTCCCTCTCCCCCCACTGTTTCTGTCTTGGTGGCTGGAGTGCATCCATGGCGGTGAGACTTGCTGGATTCTACAATTAGGAGCAACACCTCCAGGAGGGTGGAGCAGAGATATGGAAGGAGCCTGGGACTCTGACAACTCTGTAGAACATGCCACCGTAGCAGCTCAGAATTTTTTGAAAAGAAATAAGCTTTCACTTTCTAAGCCTGGGGTCGTTGCCCATGTTGTTTTGGGCCTCCGTGACCATTTCCTAATTAATAAAGGGACTCCTGTAATCAACGACAGCAATGTAGTAGCAGCAGAGAGAACCAGTCAACTTCCCATGACTCCCAACACCACTACCACTGTCCCCCCAAATAAGTCTGCCCCCCGAAAGAGAGTGGGCTCCTGGGCAGGGGCTAGTCCTGGCTTTTGGTCAGGAACAGCAACATAGACGGTGTTAGTATGATTACTGCAGATAATGAACTGCCTTTAACACTACCTGAAAAGGAAGTGTTTTTTACTGAAATGGGAGGGTTTTTTTAAAAATAAGATGCACAAAACAAAGGAACTAGTCATTCGCCTGTTTCCATGGTAGCAATACAACTGACCCCAAATGGTACCTGCTTGCCTGCTGGAGAAGGCAAAGACGATGATGTCATCAAAGGTCCAGGCGTAGTCCTGGTGCGGAGGGTAGAACGTCAGCTTGTCCGAAGCTTCCTTCCTGAGGTCGATTAGGAAGGTGGAGTGGACCATGGGGACGGGGAAGCAGCCCAGCTTCTTCCATTCTCTAATCTGAGGGTAGTCTGGGGTCCGCTTATAGAAGCCCTGGAAAACAGCAAGCAGGTGGGCTGTGTTCTCTGAGCTGAAGCTTCCGCCTTCCCAGTCCTCTGCCAGGTGGATTCCAAGTTTTCACCAGTTAAATGGAAGCCCCTGGCCGGGCGCAGTGGCTCACACCTGTAATCCTAGCACTCGCACTCTGGGAGGCCAAGGTGGGCGGATTGCTCCAGGTCAGGAGTTCGAAACCAGCCTGAGCAAGAGCAAGACCTCGTCTCTACTAAAAATACAAAGAAATTAATTGGGCAACTAATTTATATAGAAAAAATTAGCCGGGCATGGTGGCACATGCCTGTAGTCCCAGCTACTTGGGAGGCTGAGGGAGTAGGTTTGCTTGAGCCCAGGAGATTGAGGTTGCTGTGAGCTAGGCTGATGCCATGGCACTCACTCTAGCCTGGGCAACAAAGCAAAACTCTGTCTATAAATAAATAAATAAATAAATAAATAAATAAATAAATAAATAAATAAATAAATAAATAAAATGGAAGCCCCCCAAAAAACTCACCTTCACTCTTCTTATCTGGCTTAAGAATCTCCAAGGAAGCTCAAGAAATGCTATCTACATATAAAATAATGCTAAAACAGTCATGTTATCGGAAATAAAAAATTTTGATTTCAGCATGTCCTTTAATATAACAATTTCATAAAAGTGTATTCTATGTTGACTTATGACTGAATATGAAGTGTAAGTATGCAGAGATGGCAGAGCAGTTAAGAGTGCAGGTTCTGATGTCAGACTCCCTGAGTTCAGATCCCACCTCGGCCACTTATGTCTGCAGGGTATTGGTCAGGGGACTCAACCTTGCTGTGCCTATTTCCTCATCTCTAAATCAAGGATGATGGCACTACCTAGTCCATGGAGTTGTCTGTAAACATCAAGTAAAGTAAGACCAGAAAAGTGCTTAGGATAGTGTCTGGGACTAAGAGAGCATTAACAATCGTTGGTTAGTATCAAAATGACATTACGCTATAGCTAATATTTTTAATGAAACATGCATTACTTAGACATACAAGTGAGGGTCTTCTTTCAATGCAGTTACTTATTCAATATTCTGGTGGAGTTGCAGCTGCTCCACACTTTTGGGGAATTCACCTTTTGCAATTTCCTTCTGCACAAACACACAGGACAACCCATCCCCTTATTTTGTGGTTTTAAACAACTTTGTCATTGCCCAGCTTGTTTTCCCTCCACACTCAACTGTTCATTTGACAAGAACCTGCTGAGTCCCTACTATTATTCGGGTGCTTTGTTAAATGCCGGAGACTTATCAGTAAATAAGACAGCCCGAGTCAGAGTCCTCATGGATTGCAGAGCCCAGCAGAGAACCTTACACTCCAGTGGCATCGCTCATAACTTGACTATGTCTAAAGCTCGAATCCATTCTAGAAAAGGTGAAGATGTATCACAACAAAACATAACTCGTGGAAGCTTTGAAAGGAATTTTGAAAAATGCCCCAGGGGGTGGCAGGCTCTCTGGAATGAGTGTAAAGTTTCATGAGGCCAACACTAGAAAGAGCGCAAGTCCACTGCACGCAGAGGTGCTTAGGTGTTTATCAGTCAGTGGCATTACTTACGGTCACATTTCCTGTTGTGTGACCCAAACATCAGGCACTGCAGCCTCGTCTCCTACTCTGACATTCCCTTCTGGGTCTGGAAGAGTGTTCTAGCTGAGCTAACCCTAACACTGACCACATGATAAGGTAGAAAAATCACAGATTAAGACTGAGAAGATGTGAATCTTAGAGTCACCTTAACCACCTTCCAGCTGTTTGATCTTAGCCCACACTTAACCTCTTGGAGACTGAGTTTCTTCTCCCGAAAGATGGAATAAGAGCTGCTACGTCTACCTCATGGGACGACAGAACAAATCACAAGTGATGAGGTCAATGAAGATATTTTGGGAACTGTAATTTATTATATGAAATATTATTATTTTTATTAGCCTTTAACTTAAGGATTGTTTAAGATGCTTTATGGGTTCTCCTAACACTTCAGCTTATGAGCAGTCTTCAAGAGATATAGGGATCACTTTCAAAGGGCTGCCTAAGGACTCATGTCAAATAGAAAGTTCTAGACTACTTAGGAGCAATATGCTCAGAATGAGAAGCTTGGAAAATTCATGATGATGATGAATCACTGAATGTCCTGAGGGGGGAGGTGAGAAGGAAGGAAGCAGAGAAAAAAAGAGAGAGAGAAAGAGAATTAACTCGTCTCCCACAGAGAGGCAGAGGCAATGGGTGCCTCTCTTTTTCCACATAACTGAATTTTGTTGGTAATGATTCCTGTTCGTTGGCCAGACAACACCAAGGTCATTTTGTTTGGATGTGTTTAAAGCTTGCCTTGAGCTTATGAAGTCATCGGCCAGTTCTGTTCCACCCTAGTGGAAGCCTAACTGGGATGGTAGAAAGCCAAAAACAGATGGAGGAAAATTAAAATTGCCCAAGTTGCTCAGAATTTAGTTTTACTGTGCAAAATAAGTGAGCAAATTTCTCCTATTTGCCTTTTTTCTCCCTGAGACAGAGTTTTGCTCATTATAGCTCATTGCAACCTCAAACTTCCAGGCTCAAGTAATCCTCCTGCCTCGGCCTCCCAAGTAGCTGGGACTACAGGCGTGCGCCACCATGCCCGGCTAATTTTTCTAGTTTTTGTAGAGACGGGGTCTCCCTTTTGTTCAAGTTGTTCTCAAACTCTTGACCTCAAGTGATTATCCTGCCTTGGCCTGCCAGAGAGCTAGAATTACAGGTGTGAGCCACTGTGCCTGCCCCATTTGCTTTTTAATAACCAAAGCAAATAAGAAGATAATAGAGACTTGGAGGCTGCAGTGACCAGGATAAGCCTGTAATCCTAGCTCTCTGGGAGGCTGAGGCGGGCGGATTGCTCAAGGTCAGGAGTTCAAAACCAGCCTGAGCAAGAGCGAGACCCCTGTCTCTACTAAAAATAGAAAGAAATTAATTGGCCAACTAAAAATATATAGAAACAATTAGCTGGGCATGGTGGCGTGCACCTGTAGTCCCAGCTACTGGGGAGGCTGAGGCAGAAGGATCACTTGAGCCTAGGAGTTTGAGGTTGCTGTGAGCTAGACTGACTCCATGACGCTCTAGCTGGGGCAACAGAGTGAGACTCTGTCTCAAAAAAACCCCAAAACATTTATCAGCACACCACTGGCCTCATTCCTTATCCTAAATCAAATCACATATAAAAGAGAGACTCAAACTTTAGCATTTCATCCATAAGGACACATTGAACATACCTTTTTAGCTTAGCACATCTTTATCCTACATTGATACATATTCATTGATTGGTTTAATTAATCTCTCTAATTCATTAAGTAAAGAATAAAACATATAACCAGCCATAAGTATTCACTGTAACAAACCTCTAGACTTTGAAAATTTTTACTATGGAAAAGAGAAATGATGGAAATTCAAAATCTGTTTTTAATTTGAATTTTGTAAAAACAAGGTACCATGGCAGTTTTAATTATTAGAACTCTTTGTAAATAAATTTGGCAACATATATCAAAGGTCATCAAAATAGTTATACTCTTTTATTCAGTAATTCCACTTAACCTAAGGAAATAATATTAGATGATACAGAAAAATTTACATTAATCATGATGGTAATTATAATAGTTAAATTTGTAAACAACTTAAAAGTTCAAATGAAGGGAAAGGTTAAGCAAATTGCAGTATAGCCACCTAATGACAATGTAGTTATTAAAAATGTGCACGATTCTGTCTATGCATGGTGTTACAATGGTGGGGATTAACTATTTTTATTTTTTATTTATTTATTTTTTCATTTTTTCCATTTCTAAATTTTTCTATACTGTTCTCATATTAGTTTTATAATTACAGAAAAAATTAATTTTTATTTTAAAAAAATCCCTGAATCAAGCAGGGGGTGGGGGTGGGGAATACAAATTCCAGCATGTTTTATTGGTTAATTTGCGGTTTCTAAGGCTAAGCTCTTGAGAATATTTTCTGCATGGTTAATTAATACAGAAGAGCCCGAATGAGCTGTAGCATTGGACCCGGATTTACTGCCGTTCCGGAAAGTGTCTGCTCTAGTGACACAATGACATGCATCGTGCATGTTTCAAGGGGGGATGAGAAAAAGGTAAACGGGGCGACAGCTGACCCAGGGGCTGCCCTGTTAAAACGTACAGCCTTTATCCATTAACCCAATGACTTGCCTGAGGTGTGATTCCGCACCAGAAATTGGAGTACAGGCCCCGAGACTCCAGCATGGGGGCCACGATGGTTTTGTTCTCTGCAATCATTAGACTGAGGGTCTGTGGATTGGTCAGGAAATTGTCGACATCTATGAACTAGGAAAAGAAAAGGATAATGTCAGGTGAAAAGGCATATTTTGGCAATGGGTTCAGTAATAACTCAGTACTTCTGAAGGATCACAGAAACTTGCTCCTGACATACAGAAAATAGTTATCTGTGTCCTCCTTATTGAAAGCGTTGCAGCTGGTTGGCTTGCATTCAGTCAAAAGACATTAGGCCCAACTCTCTGCATAAAGCACCACATGATACATCAGTGTGGCCAAGCTAGGCACAGACTCAACCAGGACTCAACCTGCACCTTGGTTAGTGGATTAAGCACAGATATTAATAGCTCCAAAGTCCTTAAAAATTCATTCAAAAACACTTAGTGCACACTCCAGGTACAGATGGGCAGACCTATTTAGGTTTTCTATATCAATGCCAGAATGGCCCCAAACAGATCCATTGCTATTCTAATGCTACACGTAGAATTTTTGTTTAAAGTACACTGTATCGTCCCATGCTAACCAGCGAAGCTGCTTTCCGTTCTTAGCGAAAATCCATGTTGACATTGATTCATTGACAAAGACAGTGTAACAACAGATGCTAGCATATAAAAGAAATAATCACACTGAACTGTACACTTAAAAATGGCTAAATTGATAGATGTTATGTTATGTATGTTTTATCACAGTAAAAAAAATCAGAAGTGTTTATTCTTATAATAGTCAATCTGTTCACCAAAAATTTTGTGGTTCAGCATTTGTACACTTCGATGAAATTTAAACAGCTGCGCAATGTTAAATATTGTCACAGTACAATTTGAAAATGTCTATGGAATTATTTGTGTTGCAAGTGTGTGTGATAAATTATTGGGCTGATTGTTGTTGTGGTTGAGGGGCTGGGAATGGACATAGGTCAAGAATATTCTCTTCAGCAATCAGAGTCTAGTGACAGCAGATGCCCATCAATGTAGTGAAATGATATTGGCTTTGCCTCAGATCGGTGTTATTTACCGTGTCATATTAGAAAATGACTGTCAAAAGAATCAAATGGATTTGGGGGACCAGAGGTTAAAAACTTGATTCCCACAAACTTGTGAAGGAAAATCTTCAAAAGAGAAAAGGGGACACAGCTCCTTGCTGAGGAGAAAGCCGTCCTCCTCTCCAGCTGAGAGACGTTATGGAGGACAAGGAGGGAGAATAACACCGATGCCCAATCATCAAGTCCCGCTGTTTTTCTGGATCACAAAGTTCTAAGGAAAGTGATGGAACCTCTTCATGGAGAAAAGTTCTCCATGAAAGCCCCACACAACCGGAAGCAATCAGGAAGCCAAAAAAGAGACTCCATTCCTCAAAACACTCAGGAGCAAAAGGGGACAGGTTCAGAACTGTTCACCTGAATCTTCTTTTTATATAATTATTTTCTTATATCCCCAAAATTTTTCCAAAAAGTTATTAGGACAATTTATATTCCTTTACCTACAGAATTTCTCATGAGCTAAAAAGATTCAGTTTCTTACACCTGTTATATATCACAGACCAGATAATTCAGGAACTTTTTGAGTCACTGAAAATGAATGTTGGAAGTGGGTCTGAGATCAAATCCAGGTATCTCAGTATTAAATTATCAAAATTTCCCCTTGAGCCTTTATAAAAAGTAGGAGAGGCAGTACTTAAGCAAGGGGTTGTTTTGATTACTCCTATGGCCCTGGTTTTCAGACAACTGATTTGGGCACATTCTAGATCACAGTTATTAAGACATCAAACATCTGTTTTTACCAGAATGTAGTCCGACCATTTTTCCCTCGCAGTTCGAAGGGCTGCCTGTCGTAGCTTCATCACATGGGCAAACCGGGAGCTCGGCCAGTGCTTTGGTCCAATTTCATCAGGATAAGATCTAAAAGAATAATAATAAAAACTTATAATTATTGGGTGCCTACACATACCAAGATTTGCCCTAAATATTTATATATATTAATTAGTTTAATCCTCCATCAACCCTAGGAAGTAGATGCTATTAATATTGTTAATAGTATCATCATCCCATCATTATATTACAGATAAGGAAACGGAAGCAATGAGAGAGTATGTAACAACTTGCTGTTTACTGTACACAAGAATCTTTATATTAAATAATTCAGTGGGTTTTAACAAGAGCCCTATGAGGTAATTTCTACTGTTCGTCCCATTTCACAGATGTGGATATTGATGTAGAGCAGTTAAGTCATTTGCTCAATGTTACACAGTTAATGAAAGGGACAATCAAGATTTAAATCCAGGTAGTCTAGCCTGAAAGCTCATGTTTCCAGACACTTTTTTATATGTCCAGACATTATTTTACATATAAATATTTAATATTTATATTAAATAAATTTGGGAAGGTTGAGGTGTCAAAGTATGAGTTTCCTAGGTAAAACGAAGCTTCAATTTACTTAGTGTCATCTCAGGAAACGATTCCATACCGCCTAACACATGGCTCTATCCCAGGTAAAGCAAGGTCATGGAGCAGGCATATAGGATCATGGGAATCTCTAACAACATTCACAGAACAGCCAGGCCAAGACTCTTACATGGCCATGCAGGCATGTGGGCTGGCATGTTCTCTGAAACCATTCTGGGAACTCCCAGCTGGTGTGGACACTGATGATGTCACGGTAGCCCCAAACTGGCGACCACTTCAAGTTCTTGCAGCTGCACTGGCAGCACGTCCACATCCGTGAATGAAAAATCACAAAAACAATGCCGGCCCTAATATTTTCCACACTGGCCTTGGCATATAATATATGTAGTCAAAACGTGGCTATACAGAACATTACTAGGTTGCAAAGTAGCCTCACAAGAGTTTTTCTGTGCCATTTAAATTAGGCCAAATTCCATTATAAGGCACTCCAAAGGAGTGTTGGAACCTTTTATAGTGTTCAAACTTCATTGCTAAATTTTGCTTGATATATAGACCATATGTTTGGATTTGAGAAATATATAATATACATTAATTATATATTATATTTATATACTCATTTAAAATATAAATGTATTATGTATTATATATGCACAAATTATTACATAGAGAGGTACTAGAAAAACAGAAATTTGTTCTATAATGGCATTTGCTATTATTATTATAATACAACTTTGGCTTTCAATACATGACTTAACCTGTGCAGAAATTTAGGCAACTCATTCATTCATTACCTACAATTCCTAAAGGTAGAATTGTAATAGCTGTGGGAACATTTACAATAGCAAGTTTTGAATACATTTATTCTTGTTCTTACTCATTTATTCATCCAACAAGTATTAATATAGTGTCTGCCAAGAGTGCAGCACTGGGGGGAAATAAAAGTATTTGTATACTCTAACCCCTGCCAGAGAACCTACAATGTGTTTAGAAAAAATATATAAATTGCATAGTTAATTAACAACATTGGTTAAGTGTACCATTGTGCAAAAAGGATGATGTAGAAAATAAGGAATATAATTGTTGAGAGAAAAATAGGTCTTTATAACTGGAATGATTAAAAATAGCTTTCTGTAGTAGGTACAATTTAGGATGAAAGTTGTTTACAAAGAAGGAAATGATCTTTCAGGACCTGCACGAGCGACAGCTTGGGGTCCTGGAAATAAATGCATAAAGCACATTTTCTTTGGGGAAAAAGCAGGACATATGAATGCTAAGTTTGTGGAATCTTTTAAATATCAGTCTCAAGTATTTGAACTTTGTTCTATAGGTACTGAAGAGCAACTGGAGTCCTTTTAATAAAGAAATGAAACTACCTCATTTGTATTTTAGGTAGACTGACTTGACAGTATGGTGTGTAGGATGAGTTGGAGATAAAAGCAACTAAGAAACTGCTATGGTTAAGATTGGGAGTAACCTAAATGTCCATTACTAGGGGACAGATTAAATAATTATGGTACATCCATACATTGGATACTATGCAGTTAAAAAGAATGAAGCTCCTTAACTATTGCTATGGAATGATTGCCAAGATATAAGTGAAAAAGAAAGGTATATGTATAAAGTGCACAAACTTTTCACTATGCTCCCTCAAGTATAAAATTTTTATACTTAAAATATGAATAAATAAGATCAATATTTAAAAATACATATTATTGTGGAAATTTATTTATGAACTTAAAACCTGAACTCGGCTGGCAGCTGTAGGAGTAAAGAGAAAGAAGGAACTATGAAGATCTGTTAAAGGAAGAAATAGCAGGTGTCTGGAACTCAGGTACAGAGATAAAAGACAATGAAAAGTCACATGTGTCTCCAAGATTAAAAGCCCACATGGCTAGAGAGCTTGTTAAGGAAGAAATAAATAATAATAATAATGAGTAAATAATGGGTTTACAAAATATATTTTTGCTACTCACTCTGGCTTATCCATGGGCCTCCACTCCACATAGTGATAGAGTTTCTGTACATTTTTCAACCACTCCCTGAGTATTTCTGTTGTATTATCCACATTGTGATCGGTGGCTGCCCTGCATGAGAACAAGAACAATACACTTTAGTTATGTCATATAAACAAAGAGAGGGAAATCCAAAAGTCCCAGACTAACTTAAAAGAGAATGGCAAGTTCTGGGAAAAAAAAAATGTATATATGAAAAGAATTCCCTCATAGTCCAAACTAGACAATGAGTTTCTGAAGTAAGAGATACTGCTTAAAATCATTTTTGTGCCATTAGACCCTTACACAGGGCTCAGTAAATTGTAGAATCCATAAATGCTTGTATTAATAAATAAATACATGAAAACACTAAAACCATATCAGCATAAAATGAATTAACCGAGAGTCAATTCATCAATCTTCTTGGGAATTTTCTATTTGTTTTAATCTTTAGTTATCCAGGATGTAAATTGACCTTGGCATATAATATATTTAGTCAAAACATAGCTATAGAGAACATTACTAGATTGCAAAGTAGCCTCACAAGAGTTTTTCTGTGCCATTTAAATTAGGCCAAATTCCATTATAAGGCACTCCAAAGGAGTGTTGGAACCTTTTATAGTGTTCAAACTTCATTGCTAAATTTTGCTTGATATATAGACCATATGCTTGCATTTGAGAAATATATAATATACTTAATTATATATTTATATACTCATTTAAAATATAAATATATTATATATGCACAAATTATTACATAGAGAGGAACCAGAAGAATAGAAATTTGTTCTATAATGGCATTTATTATTATTATGACCTTTTAATTTCACTAACAATTACCCTCAATTTAAGCAATAATTTATTTTCATTTTCATTTCAAGTCAATTTTCAGATCACAATAAAATATCTAGTCAGTGCTGTGCTTTAATCATTGTGAAACCACAATAATAATTCCCAATATAAATCTTGAAATCTAAGGTATCTTCACCTATCTATATTGGATTAACTTTACCATCACTTAAACAAAATAGAGAATATTCAAAAGCCTTCAAATAATGTATAAAAAACTTGTTTCTGTTCTACCTTGAACGTTTAATAAACAGAGCCACCTAATTCAATTATTAAAACAAAATATTTTCAAATTGTATCAGAAAGCAAACTCTAACTCTATGCTGTATATTAGATACACATGTAAAACAGTGTTATTTGGAACACCTAAAAATGAAGAGGTGTACAAAATTAAAAAGAAAAAAAGGAAAAGAAGTAGGAGTTGTAATCCTGACACCAAACAAAGTAGAATTCAGGCCAAAAAAAATTAAGCATGACAAAGAATATGACTTTATATTAAATAATACTAAGGATGCAATTCACATCAAAGGTATATTAAGTGTGAATATCTGTGCACTTTGATATAGTACAAGGGTCGGCAAACTTTTTCTTTAAGGGATAGTAAATATTTTAGGTTTGCAGGCCATATACTCTTTTGCAACTACTTAACTCTGCCATTGTAGTGATAAAGCAGCCATAAACAATATGTAAACAAATGAACATTGCTGTGTCCCAATAAAACTTTATTTATAAAAACAGGTAGCTGGTCTGCAAGCTGTAGTTTGCTGATCCCTAATATAGTGGAAAGTAAAGGAATGGCAAAGAAAACAAAACAAAAACAAGAATCATAAAATATGCTAACATACCACTTTTGGTTGAGGACAGCAGAAGTGGAGGGGAAAGTAAACATGGAAGTAAACATGGAAGATCTATACAACACAATAATAGAGACTATACATTCTTTTCAAGCACACACGGAACATTTACTAACATTGACTAATAATTACATTACAAAAAATTTTCAATAAAATCGAGATAATAGAAACAACATTCTCTGATCACAATGCAATAAAACTAGAAATGAATAATAAAATAAAGGCAGTACATTGAGGCCCATAGAGACAGCGCCGGGGCAAGTGAGAGCCGGACGGACACTGGGCGACCCTGTGCCTTGCTGAGGAAAAATAACTAAACAGGGGCAAAGGAGATCCTAAGAAACCGAGAGGCAAAATGTCATCATACGCATTCTTTGTGCAAACTTGCTGGGAGGAGCACAAGAAGCACCCAGATGCCTCAGTCAGCTTCTCAGAGTTTTCTAAGAAGTGCTCAGAGAGGTGGAAGACCACGTCTGCTAAAGAGAAAGGGAAGTGTGAAGGTATGGCAAAGGCGGACAAGGCCTGTTATGAAAGAGAAATGAAAACCTATATCCCTCCTAAAAGGGAAACAAAAAAGACGTTCAAGGATCCCAGTACACCCAAGAAGCCTCCTTCTTGTTCTGTTCTGAGTGTTGCCCTAAAATCACAGGAGAACATCCGGGCCTTTCCACTGGTGATGTTGCAAAGACACTGGGAGAGATGCGGAATGACACTGCTGCAGATGACGAGCAGCCGTGTGAAAAGAAGACTGCGAAGCTGAAGGAAGAGTACGAAAAGGATATTGCTGCTGCATACCGAACTAAAGGAAAGCCTGATGCGGCAAAAAAGGGAGTCGTCAAGGCTGAAAAAAGCAAGAAAAAGAAGGAAGAGGAGGAAGATGAAGAGGATGAAGAGGAGGAGGAAGAAGATAATGATGATGATGAATAAGTTGGTTCTAGCGCAGTTTTTTTTTCCTTATCTATAAAGCATTTAACCCCCCTGTACACAACTCACTCCTTTTAAAGAAAAAAATTGAAATGTAAGACTGTGTAAGATTTGTTTTTAAACTGTACAGTGTCTTTTTTTGTATAGTTAACATACTACCAAATGTGTCTTTAGCTAGCCTTATCCCAGTGGTATTTTCAATAGGCACCAACCTTGCTTGGTACAGTATGGGAGTTGTAAATTGACATGGAAATTTAAAGCAGAGTCTTGTTGGTGCACAGCACAAATTAGTTATGGTAGTTTTTTCATCTTCGGTTGTCTCTGATGCAGCTTATACAAAATAATTGTTGTTCTGTTAACTGAATACCACTCTGTAATTGCAAAAAAAAAAGTTGCAGCTATTTTGTTGACACTCTGAATGCTTCTAAGTAAATACAATTTTTTAAATTAAAAAAATAATAAAATAAAATCCAAAATATTCCATTAAAAATTCTCTTATAAAGTTGTTTTATTTAAATACAACTATTGAAAGAAAGAAGAAATATAAACCAATTTCAGGACTTCTAAAATTTAATAATGAAAACACTACACATCATAATTTTGGAACATAATTAAAGCAATGATCAGAGAAAAATTCAGTTTTATATACTTGAATCAATAAAAGCAAATGAGTTAAATTCCTACTCAGAAAGCTAGAAAAAGTGCAAAAAAGCAAACAACTATAAAGAAATCAATAATAAATATAAAGGCAGAAAGTCCTGAGGTATAAAACAGAAAAATAGTAGAACTCCAAACTAAAATGCTGCTTCTTTGAGAAAAAAATCAACAAAAGACAAGCACTAGTTAACTTATTCAAGGCAACTCAAATATAAAAAATAAGAAATGACAAGGGTAGTCAGTAATATAATTGATTTGAAAGAAAACTTTAAAAACTCATAAGCAACTACTTTGTACAATTCAATGATAAATTTGAAAACTAGATGTAATGAAAGATTTTCTAGAAAAATGCATGTTAGTAAAATTGACTCCAGTAGAGATATAAAGCTTAAATGAATAATTTCTATGAAAGAAATAAAGAGAAAAAAGAAAATGCTAGGCCCAGATGGTTTCATAGGGAAATTCTACCAAATCTTATACTAGATATTTCCAATGATATATAGCTTGTTCTCTAGAATGTAGACAAAATAAAATTCCAAGTTCTCCTAATAATGCAAATATAATATTGATTCTACATCTTATGAAGATATAGGTGTGCACACATACACAAAAAACTACAGACCAATATTTTTTAATGAATATGCTGCAAAAATCCTAAAGTATTAAGAAACAAAATCTAACATTCTATTAAGAAAATATAGCATGGCCTAAGGTTGTTCAATATAAGACAATTCATTAATATAATTTACAATATTAATAGACCTGAAGAAAAATCATGATTATCTCTGTAAATGTATAAAAGATATTTAACAAAATTCAGCATCTATTTCTGATTTTTTAAAACCACACTGAATAAAATTCAAACAGATACGTCTTTATAGAAGAATGATGGCTAATAAATGTATAATGAATGATAGGATTATAAAAATCACATTTTGCAATCACCAATATAATAATTGATTCAGGCAAATTTATCAATGGATATTAAACTATTGAGAAAAAAGTTCTTAGTAAACAGGATATTCATAGTCTTATGGTATCACCCACAGACTACTTATTAATTGTGAGAGGATAAAGATACCTTGGCATTAGAGAAGTCTGGTGGATACCATCTTAACCAAGTGATCAAACTTAACATCAACAGTCATCAGTTATGAGACAAACTGACATCAAGTATTTTATGATGTGATACACTGAGAAGACACAATATTAACTATGTAATATTCTTGCCAAAAATGTTTAACTTGAATCAGGAGAAAAGAATCAGATAAATCTAAATTATTGGACAAATCATAAAACAAATCATTTTGACTATTCAAAAATGTCAATAACATGAAAGACAAAAAATATTGAGGGAACCAACCTAGATTAAATAAGATCAGAGTCATGATGACTAAATATGTGTGATCTTCCATGTGATCCTGGATTGAAGGGCATTATTAAAACTACTGGGGAAATGTGAATCTCATCTCTGTGTTAGAAAATATTGTACAAATGTTAAACTTCTTGAAAGTGATGATATTGTGGATATACAGGAGAATTTCTTGCTCTTAGGAGACATATGTTGAAATATTTAGGGAGGAGTGAAGTGTCATGATGTTTGCAACTTACTTGCACAAGTTTAGCATTAAATGAAAGAAACTGTGGAAGTTTGAGGTTTTGGAGGTCACTGATGCTCCAAAAGTAAAAATTAAAATCTTTAAGAGAGAGAATGCTCATGAACATTCAGGAGAAAAAAATAAATTAAGCAAACATAGTGGAACTCCATTTAAGATAGGGATAAAAACGCCAAGTAACTCGAAACTGTGT